GATCAGCCTTGGGGTGCGGGGAGCCGTTCCGGGGTGCGGGGATCAGCCCCTGCCCCTCGGGAGCAGCCTGAGCGCGGGGACAGCGGCGGTTCCAGCCGCTCCCGCCGGGATGTGGTGATTCGGGCAGCTCGGGACACGCGGGGGCTGCTCCCGGCGCTCCTGTCCCGGGGACAGGGGACACGGGACGCTGCAGGAGCGGCCGCGGGTCCGTGGCAGTGCGGAGCCCCTTGGAAACCCTTTTTCCTGCGGGGCTGCTGTCCCGCGGTGACTTTCCGTGTCACGGTGCCACTAAAGGCGCTTCCAGCGGGAGCGGGGATGGCTCCCGGCCGGAGCCGAGGGGGTTAAAGCTGGCGGCAGCTGCGGCGGCTGTTAATGATTGATCCCAAGGACGGTCTCCACGGGCTTGGAAGGGAAACCATCCGCCCCGGCCGGCTGCGGGAGCGCCACCGGCTCGGCGAGGGGCGCGGCAGGCGGAGGGGACGCGCGGTGGCACCGGTGAGGGTGAGTGTGTGTGTGTGTGAGTGAGTGCGTGTGTGTTGCCGTGTCACGGAGCCTGGCCGTGTCACACGGACCCTGGTTGTGTCACACGGACCATGGTTGTGTCACACGGATCCTGGTTGTGTCACACGGATCCTGGCCATGTCACACGGACCCTGGTTGTGTCACACGGAGGCCCGGCAGTGTCACACAGGGCCGGCCGTGGCACTCGTGGCCATTGTCTGGCCAGCAGCGGGTGGCCCGAGGGTGGTGACAAGCAGAGCTGGCAGGAGCAGCGCGCTGGGCACGGCCCCGTCACACCTGGGTGCGATTGTGGAGCCCAGGGCTCGGGGTTTGTCCCTGCAGGGTTCTGGGGTTTGTCCCTGCAGGGTTCTGGAGTTTGTCCCTGCAGGATTCTGGGGTTTGTCCCTGCAGGATTTGGGGGTTTGTCCCTGCAGGATTCAGGGGATTTGTCCCTGCGGGATTTTGGGGATTTGTTCCTGCAGGATTTCCCCTGAGCTGACCCGGCGGGGAGGGGTCGGGGCCGTGTTCCTTTGATGCCGGGGATTGCTCGGGACAGGAATTCCCAGCCGTGGAAGCAGCTTCCCAAAGAGCTCAGGGAGAGTTTGAACCCTGCAGGTGGCGGCTTGGAGGTTGTGGTGGGAACGGTGGCACTGGGTGGGAACAATGACTCCAAGTGGGAGTGGTGGCACTCAGTGGGGATGGTGGCACTGGATGGGAATGGTGGCACTCAGTGGGAATGGTGGCACTGGGTGGGAATGGTGGCTCCAGGTAGGAGTGATGGCACCTGCTGGGAATGGTGGCACGGGGTGGGGATGGTGCCTCCTGGTAGGAATGGTGGCTTCAGGAGGGAATGGTGGCACTGGATGGGAACAATGACTCCAAGCGGGAATGGTGGCACTGGATGGGAACAATGACTCCAAGTGGGAATGGTGGCTCCATGTGGGAATGGTGGCACTGGATGGGAACAATGACTCCAAGCGGGAATGGTGGCTTCAGGAGGGAATGGTGGCACTGGATGGGAACAATGACTCCAAGCGGGAATGGTGGCACTGGATGGGAACAATGACTCCAAGTGGGAATGGTGGCTCCATGTGGGAATGGTGGCACTGGATGGGAACAATGACTCCAAGCGGGAATGGTGGCTCCATGTGGGAATGGTGGCACTGCGATCCCATGCCCAAGGAACTGGGGCTCTGTCCCCACCAGGGGACATGGTGGCACTGGATGGGAACAATGACTCCAAGCGGGAATGGTGGCTCCATGTGGGAATGGTGGCACTGGATGGGAACAATGACTCCAAGCGGGAATGGTGGCTCCATGTGGGAATGGTGGCTCTGCGATCCCATGCCCAAGGAACTGGGGCTCTGTCCCCACCAGGGGACAATGCAGCGACACCAGAGCTGCCCGGGCAGGGCCTGTCACCCTCTGTGCCCTGCTCCAGGGCTGTCACCCACCCCACGTGTCCCCCCGGGCCCAGGACGCTGCTCCAGCCCCGGCAGCAGCAGCGGCGCTTTTTGGCCGCCAGCCCCCGGGGCTGGAGCCGGCGTTTCCAGGGAGATAAAACACAAACTCCCGGCTCTTTTTTTGTGCTTTTCTTGTGCTTTTTGTGCTTCTCCCCGACCCCAGCTGGCGCGGCAGTGGGGGACTCGCCCTCCCCTCGGCCGCCGGCCGCGCTGGCTGCCAGCAGCCGCTTTGTTCTCTGGAAATCCCGGCCTTCCCTTTCCATCATCCCCCGGGAGCTTCCCCCTCTGTCCCTCCCCAGCCCCGGGATGTCCCCGGGTGACGCTGCTGCTGCCGCCCGCCCTTCCCGAGGACTTTGCCCGGCTTGGCGAGGCTGGCACCGCGGCCCGGCCGCTTCCCGGGGCTCCCGGCTCGGCCCCGGCCTCCCCTTCCCTCCCTGAGCCGCTGCCGCGGGGACCACGCACGAGGGGCACTGGTCCTGCAGGACAGGGCGGCCCTGGGATGGTTCCTGGGGTCTGGGTTACCCTGGTTTTTGGGGTCTAGGTGGCCCTGGGATGGTTTTTGTGGCCTGGGTGGTATTTTTGTGCCTTACATTCCATTTTTTCCCTCCCTGGGCTCCTCTGCGGAGCGGGGCTCAGCACTTTGTCCCTGCTCCCCCGAGGGCGGATTGTCCCTCGCGGGGACCGTGGGTGACAGGGTGACCCTGAGCGGCCACCCCTGGGTGCTGAGAGCTGCAGATCCCAGGAGAGCAGAACGGGAATTCTGAGGGATGGGAGGGGAAGAAAAGGGTTGGAAAAACACGGAGGAAGGGAAGGGAAGAGAAGGGAAGGGAAGGGAAGGGAAGGGAAGGGAACTCCCTGCTCCTGCCACGCTGTCCCCAGATTGCTGTCCCCAAAAGTGTCCCCACAGCCTCCCCTGGCAGGTGCCATCCCGCCGTGGTGGCAGCGCCACCGGGCGAGCCCTGGCAGTGCCACCAAGGAGGGCTGGCACTGCCCGTGGCCGTTGGAGGACCTTGTCCCCGGATCCTTGGCTGGTGGCGATGGAGGAGCGGGCGAGCCACTGAGGTGGGGACAGGGGGACACGGGGACAGCAGCACCGGGGCGTTTGGCACTGCTTCAGCCCCTGGCACGAGGCCGTGCTGCCCGTGGGCGGTGTGGTGCCCGGTGCCTTAAAAAGGTGGATTTGGTGCCTTTGGGTTTGGCTTAGTTTGGGTTTCTTTGGTCTGGATTTGGTTCAGTTTGGGCTCGGTTTGGGTTCGGTTCAGTTTGGATTTGGTTTGGGTCTGGATTTGGTTTGGGTCTGGATTTGCTTTGGGTCTGGATTTGGTTCAGTTTGGGTTTGTTTTGGTTTGGATTTGGTTTAGGTTTGGATTTGGTTCCATTTGGATCTGATTTGGCTCTGGATCTGATTTGGGTTTGGATTTGGTTCAGTCTGGACTTGGTTTGGTTTGTGTTTAGTTCAGTTTGTGTTTCATTTAGTTTGTGTTTAGTTCAGTTTGTGTTTAGTTCAGTTTGTGTTTAGTTCAGTTTCTGTTTAGTTCAGTTTGGATTTGGTTCAGTTTGGATTTAGTTTAGTTTGGATTTAGCTCAGTCTGGATTTGGTTTGGTTTGTGTCTAGCTCGGTTTGTGATTAGTTCAGTTTGTGTTTAGCTCGGTTTGTGTTTAGCTCGGTTTGTGTTTAGCTCAGTTTGTGTTTCATTCAGTTTGTGTTTAGTTTATTTTGTGTTTAGCTCAGTTTGGATTCGGTTCTGTCGCTGCCGCAGCGTTGGCACACTCTGGGATGGGCTGGCACCACCGGTGGCACTGAGCTCACCCCAGAGCGGCACAATTCGGATTTTTGGGAGGCAGACGTGGTGCTGGGCCGTGTCCCACGGTGCTCCCGGGATTTTCGGGAGCGGGGCCGAGGCGGGAGGGAGCCCGGCCGCCGCCCCGCGCTGCGCTTCCTTCTTTGGAGCTTTCCTGGCCGTGTTCGCCCTTCCCTGCCTCCCTCCTGCCCCGGGATTCTCCCGCCCGCCCTCAGCGCTTCGCGTTCCCTTTCCAAAGTCCAGGCTCACCCCAAATCCCGCTCTTCCCGCTCCCAGGGGCTCCCCGGGGTGTTTTTTGGGGGTGCTGATGCCCTGCGGGGTCTGTCCCCCCCCGTTTGGTGCTTGTCCCCATCCTGGTCCCCGAGATTTCCTCCCGGTGTCCCCTGGGGAAGGAACAGCCACGAGGAGGAGGGTGACACACCCGGGGATGCTTTGGGGACACCCGGGATGCTTTGGGGACACCCGGGGGTGCTTTGGGGACACACAGGGGTGCTTTGGGGACACACGAGGATGCTTTGGGGACAGCCGGGGGTGCTTTGGGGACACATGAGGATGCTTTGGGGACACCTGGAATGCTTTGGGGACACACGAGGATGCTTTGGGGACACCCGGGATGCTTTGGGGACACCCGAGGATGCTTTGGGGACACACGAGGATGCTTTGGGGACACAAGCAGGGGGAAGGGACGCAGCCACTGAATCCAGGGCAGCGACAGAGCTCAGCTCAGCTCAGCGCGGCCGCCCCCCTCGCTGTGACACCCGCCCTTCCCGCTGCCCTGCCGGGCTGGGGGGCCCCGGGAGCCCCTCACCAGCCCTTCGGAGCCCCCCTGAACCCCCCCGAGCTGCCCGTGTCGCCCTTCCCGTGGCACCAGCGGCTCCCCGGCTCCGCACCTGGGCTGGGGGAGGCGGCTGTGCCGCGCTGCCCTTCGCCTCTCCTCTGCGGGGACGCGAGCGGGAGCTGCTTGTCCCCGCTGTCGCCTTCCCCGCCGGCTGCCGCACACCGGGGCTGCCCAACCCCGGAGCCCCCCGGAGCCCCCCGAGCTCCGCCAATGCCACCGGCGCGGGGCGCTGGCACGGCTGGCAGAGCCCGGGCAGAGCCCTCGCCCCCCGCCCGCGCCCCCCGGCCCCGCGGGGCTCCCCGCTGTCCCCGCTGTCCCCGCTGTCCCCCGGCAGCGCGGCGGTGCCATGCCGGGGGCCGGGAGCGGCCGCTGAGCCCCCGGGACCATGCTGAAGTTCCGGGCGGACCGCAGGGTGAGGTAGGAGCCCGGGGGGCTCGGGGGGGGTCCGGGAGTGTCCGTGGGGAGCCGGCGGGGCGGGACCCCCGCGCCGGGCAGCGGATCCGGGCAGCGGCTGCTGCATTGCAGTGCTGGGAGGCGATGGGCACGGCCGAGGCTCCGGAGCGGGGCCAGCCCCGGGCGCTGCTTCCCGCAGCTTTCGGCTGCCCCGGGGGCTGGGGGCGCGGGCAGCTTTGGGCTGGGGGCGGGAGGAGCCGGGGGGGCTGCGAAATGGGGGTGTCCTGCCCGCAGGGACACCCAGCGCGGGGTTCAGGGATGGGGGCACCCCCGGCGTGGGGTGCAGGAGGGCTGGTGGGGGCTGGCAGCGCCCGCTGCCCACGCCTGGCGCTTTCGGGGTGCTGCTCTCTCAGCTCTGCGCCCTCCCCGCGCGGCAGCGTCACTGCGGGGCCGGGACCTGCCCCAGTTCCCGGGATTTGAACCCCCCCGGGGGCAAAAAGCGCCCCGGGAGCGGCTCCAGCCCTGTGGCAGAGCTGTGCTGGAGCCGGGCCGGGCACCCAGGGCAGCGCTGGTCGGACCAGGCGGGCACTGGGGGGTCTGGAGAGCGAACCCCCCGAACTGTGGGGTGCAGCTCATCCCCCGGGTTTTTAAGGTGCCCCCGGGTTTTTTGGAGAAGAGGAGGCTTGCTGGAGGGGATCGGGAGCCTGGGGAGGAGCAGCACTTTTTGGGGTGTCAGTGGTGAATGGCTCCAGAGCCTGGCACGGCACGGCACGGTCTTGGCAGCGGCGTTTTTTTGCTCAAACTTCCCCCATTTTGCTGACTGGCAGGAGGAGCTGGTGGCACGCTGGGGCTGCTGGCACCGGGGTGGCTCCGTGTCCCGGGGCCCGGCGGGTTTGGGGAGGAGGGGATGGACCCGGTGTGACATTCCTGGCGTGGAGCTCTGAGCCTCGCCCGTTCCCCCCGGGCACCCCGGGAAGTGTGGGAGGGGGGCCTGGGGTGCCTGGCAGTGCCACCTCCGTGGGACGGGGCAGGGATGTGGCACAAGGTGCCAGGTGGGCCTGGGACAGCCCTGGGACAGGCTGGTGCTTGGGGTCTGGGGGATTCTGGGGTGATGTTTGGGGTCTGGGGGGTCCTGGGGTTGTTTTTGGGGTCTGGGGGGTTCTGGGGTGGTGTTTGGGGTCTGAGTGATCCTGGGGTGGTGTTTGGGGTCTGAGTGATCCTGGGGTGGTGTTTGGGGTCTGAGTGATCCTGGGGTGGTGTTTGGGGTCTGAGTGATCCTGGGGTGATGTTTGGGGTCTGAGGGGTCCTGGGTGGTTTTTGGGGCCCAGCCCCGTGCCCAGGTGACCCCACTCAAAGCTTTGAGGTGCTCTGGAAATGGCTCCGAGAGCAGCAGGGGGGGAGGTGACATTGGGGACATCGCTGCGGGCACAGCCTGGATGGGCCGTGGCTGCTGCTGCAGCGACTTGTGAGGTGGCCCGTGATGACAGCTGGGAGGTGACAGCAGCAGGGGGCGGCTCGGCCACCACTGCCCTGATTTTGGCACCTGAATGAATCCATGAGAGCCCAGGGAAGGGCTGGAGTGGCCGAGGGAGCTGGGAAGGGGCTCAGCCTGGAGAAGAGGAGGCTCAGGGGGCATTTCTGGCTCTCCCTGGCAGGAGGGGCAGCCAGGGGGGCTCGGGCTCCGCTCGCCACCCCTGGGGGTGTCCCACGCAGTGGATGTGGCACTTGGGGACACGTTTGGTGCTGGGTTAATGGCTGGGCTTGGTGATCCTGGACACCTTTCTGACCTAAACGATTCCATGATGCCGTGAAGGATCCCAAGTCTGGGATCAGCAGCGTGCTCAGGGCAGGGCAGGGATGCCAGCCCCGGTGCCAGCCCCGGTGCCAGCCCTGGCGTTGGCGTGGAACCAACAGAGCAGCAAACGTGGCACCAAAGGGACTCCGTGGGTGACACAGGCACAGCATGAGGGACACCGGGATTTCGTGGGGGGACATGGAGACTCCTAACACCCACCCCATGGCTGTCCCCACAGCCACAATGAAAGGCGGAACACCTTCCTGCACCCAGTGACGGGACAGCTCCCCGAGGACACCTCGAGGCTTGACTTGCCAAAGTAGGTCTGCTCCCAGTGCCCTTGGGCTGGGGGGGCTGGGGAGGGCTGGGAACACTGGGGGAATCAGGATGGGCTGGGGGAGCTGGGGAGGGCTGGGATGGGCTGGACAGGGGGAGCCAGGGTGGGCTGGGAACACTGGGGGAGCCTGGGAGGGTTGGGAATACTGGGGGAGCTGGGCTGGGAATGCTGGGGGAGCCAAGGAGGGTTGGGAATGCTGGGGGATGACCCCAGCGGGGTGCAGCAGCCCAGACCCGCTGACTCCCCTTTCCCGTGTCGCAGACACAGCTCGGACATGTCCAGCAAGGCGGGCAGCAAGCGGTCGGCCACCGTCCCCAGCGAGCCCCCCAACCACGCCATGGTGGCCGAGGTGCCCCCGGAGCGCCCCGGAGGCCGGGTGAGTGCCCGGGGCGGTGTGACACGGCTGTCACCAGCCCTGAGAGGGACTCAGGGAGCCCAGCCCGGGCACTGAGCATCTCCTCCTGCCCCGCGCAGGCTCCGCGCTCATCCCGCAAGGGCATCGCCTTCGGGAAGCGCTCCAACTCCATGAAGAGGAACCCCAACGCCGCCGTCACCAAGAGCGGCTGGCTCTACAAGCAGGTACCCCCCCGTGCCACCCCTCCCGGCCCCGCAGGGCCCCGGGAGCCCCCGGAGCGCTCTGAGCACCCCTCTCCCGCAGGCCAGCTCGGGGGTGAAGCAGTGGAACAAGCGCTGGTTCGTGCTGGTGGATCGCTGCCTCTTCTACTACAAAGGTGCGGCCACCCCCGGGCCCCCGGCCACCCCCGGACCCCCGGCCACCCCCGGGCCCCCGGCCACCCCCAGCGTGTCCCCAGGGCCACCGGCACAAAGTCCCCGGCTCTTTCGGCGCTCCACCCTGTTTTATCCCGGTGTTTGCCGCGCCCAGGGGTTAATCCCGAGTTTTTCCCCCGCCTCCCTGGCAGCTCCCGGGCTCGCATCAATAATTGAGGAGGATGTTTGCGAGCCTGGCACAGCTGCGGGAGCAGCAACAGGCGGGGAGCCGATCCCACAGGTGGGACGGAGCCGGGGCGTTGGGTGGGGGGCTGCGGCGGCGGTCCCTCCGTGGGTGTAACCCCAGATTCACCCCCCCAGACGAGAAGGAGGAGAACATCCTGGGCAGCATCCCCCTGCTCAGCTTCCGCGTGGCCGCCGTGCAGCCCTCGGACAACATCAGCAGGAAGCACACGTTCAAGGTCAGTGGCCCTGCCGGGGCTGGCAGGGGACGGCGTGGCGCTGGCGTGGCACTGCGGTGGCGCTGGTGATGCTGGCAGGGTCCCTGCTGCTCTCATGGCTTTCTTGGTGGTGGGGCATGGAGCACGCTGGGGTCACCGCCGTGGGTTGGATCTGAGGCACAGCAGTGTCCCCAAGGTCCTCACCCCCTCAGGGTGGGGTCTGAGGCACAGCAGTGTCCCCAAGGTCCCCACCTGCTCTGCAAGGCCTTGGTGTGGGTGGGATCTGGGGCACAGCAGTGTCCCCAAGGTCCCCACCCCCTCAGGGCCCTGCTGGGTGCTGCCACCCCTCTCCCTGCCCTGCCTTCCCCTCTCCACGGCCGCTGTCCCCAATTCCGGCCCCGTTTGAGCCGCTTGCTTGGCAGGTGTGGCAGGTGTCACCAGCCGGGGGGGAGCTGCCACCAGCGCCCGCTCTGGGGCTGGAGAGGGGAACAGGAGTTGTGGTGGCAGCTGCTGCTGCCCCACATCCATCCCTGGCAGGCTCTGAGCTTCCCTGGCACTTTTTGGCACCACTGGGCACCTTTGGCATCGCCGGGCACTGTCCCCAGCCCGGCTGCTCGCAGTCACGGGTCACTGGGACACTGCCTTGGGGACCCCAGCGTGCCCTCCCCGTGTCCAGAGCCGGGGCTGGGCTCCCCACAGGGCACTCCCGAGTTTTCCCAGTCTAAGGGAGGGATTTGTGGAGCTGCCCCACCTTAAACCTGAATTTAGGCTCAGCTGGGCAGGGTTTAGAGGAGAGGGATGGCATGGGGTCTGCCCTGTGCCCGTGCCCACGCTGGTGTCACCTTCTGTGACCTGGGGGTGTCCAGGGAAGGGCCTGGAGAGTCCTGAGGGAGCTCCCAGAGGGATTTTCCAGCCTCAATAACTCCATGATTCTGTGAAATCCCTGTTCCCTGGCACTGATGAGGGAAGGCCTCTCAAAGCTGCTGCCCACACCCCAAGCTCTGCAGCTTCAGGATTTGGGAGAACAGTTTTGTCCAGGGAAGGGCAGAGGGGTTCCCAGACCACTCCCACTGACCCCGTGTCTGTGTTTCCTCCTCCTCCTCCTCCTCCCTCGGCGGGCGAGGATGCCAGGACAGGAGGGGTTTCTTGGTGCCACCACCACGCCAGCACCCAGCCACCACCACCTAGGTAGTGTTCCACCTTCTCGTGTTCGTGGTGCATGCAGAGGCTGAGGGACCCCGGGCTCGCCCTGCTCCTGCTGATCCCGCTCATCCCGGGGATGGATCCTTCCATTTCCCCTCCTCCTCTGCCTGCAGAGCTTCCAGAACTGCATGGGGGGCTCAGGAGGTGACCCCAGCTGGGCACGGTGGCTGCATGCTCTGGGGAGGATGGCAACTCAAGGGAGGGCTTTAATCAAACCTCATTTTTCTGTTTTAGTTAATTTTTAATTTTTTTTTTAAGAGATTGAACCATTGAAATTCTTTCAGAAGGAGAACTCTGCTTCCTCCCTTCTCTTCCTCCTCGCTTTCCCCCATCCCTTTCCACAGGGGGAAGGTGGAACCTTCAAAAAAACCCTCAAATAAAGGCTCCTTCCAGCACGTTCTGGGCGGAGAACAGGCACCAACACCTTGGATCAAAACCGACCCTTTTCCTCCCAAAATACTTCCTGGGCTGAGAAACCACCTTCCCCCTCCCCCTGCATGGACGGTGCTGCTGGGGCGCTGCCGCTCTTGCTGGGCCCCTTTGCCACCCCAATACCGGGGGGCTGCTCCTCTCAGGGTGGGGGCTGGACCCAAAAAACCCCCGGGAGTGACTCCGAGGGGGATAAAACCCCACAATGAGGAGCCTGCAGAGCTTTCCCCCGCTCACGGAGGGGACGCAGCGCTGCTGGCAGCCCCGGGGCGGCGGGATGCCGTGAGGATGGAAGCGGAGCTCTGACCCGCTGGCTGTGTCCCCCTCCCCGTTGTGTGCCCCCACAGGTGACGGTGTGCCGGGTGGAGCAGCTGCCGGCGGGTAACGGGCAGTCCCTGTCTCCCCAGGCCGAGCACGCCGGCATCCGCACCTACTTCTTCAGCGCCGAGAACACGGAGGAGCAGGAGGCCTGGATCCAGGCCATGGGCGAGGCCGCCCGCGTGCAGATCCCGCCCAGCCAGAGGTGAGTGCCACCGCCCTGCCAGCCCTCCTGGGGACACGCTGCTGTCCTTGCCCAGTGCCACCACACTGCCTGGGGATATGGCACTGTCCTTGCCCAGTGCCACAGCCCTGCCAGCCCTCCTGGGGACACGCTGCTGTCCTTGTTCAGTGCCATCACACTGCCAGCCCTCCTGGGGACACGGTGCTGTCCTTGCCCAGTGCCACCACACTGCCTGGGGACACGCTGCTGCCCTTGCCCAGTGCCACCGCCCTGCCAGCCCTCCTGGGGACATGGTGCTGTCCTTGCCCAGTGCCACCACACTGCCTGGGGACACACTGCTGTCCTTGCCCAGTGCCACTGCCCTGCCAGCCCTCCTGGGGACATGGCCTGTCCTTGCCCAGTGCCACCACACTGCCAGCCCTCCTGGGGACACGCTGCTGTCCTTGCCCAGTGCCACCACACTGCCTGGGGATATGGCACTGTCCTTGCCCAGTGCCACAGCCCTGCCAGCCCTCCTGGGGACACGCTGCTGTCCTTGTTCAGTGCCATCACACTGCCAGCCCTCCTGGGGACACGGTGCTGTCCTTGCCCAGTGCCACCACACTGCCAGCCCTCCTGGGGACACGCTGCTGTCCTTGTTCAGTGCCATCACACTGCCAGCCCTCCTGGGGACACGGTGCTGTCCTTGCCCAGTGCCACTGCCAGGCACTCCTGGGGACACGGTGCCCTCCATGCCTGGGGACATCTGGGACACGCTGCTGTCCTTGCTGCACTCCTGGGTACATTGGAGGTGTAAGGGACAGTCCAGAGAAGGGAGCTGGGGGAGTGGTGACCCCACAAGGCTCAGGGAGGGACAGGGAACCACCGGCCACCCCAGGGGCACTGCCAGGCCTTGCTGACCCCCCTGTGGTGTCTCGGCACCCCCAGGCACGAGAAGCCGGACTCGGAGAACATCCCCCCCAGCAAACACCACCACCACCACCAGCACTGCAACGCCGCGCACCGCGAGCACGCCAAGGCCGAGCCCGACGCCAGGACCCGCGGCGAGGGCGACGGCCGCGGCTCGGAGAAGATGGAGCGCAAGCCGTCGGAGCGGGCGGACGGCAAGAAGGAGCCTCTGGCCAAAGCCAACGGCCTGGGCGGGCAGGAGCCGCCCTCGGAGCCGGGCAGCCCCTACCCCGAGGGGCCGCGGGCGCCGGCGAGCGCCGAGCGGCCGGNNNCGGCGCAGCCCAACGGGTGGCCGTACCCCTCGCCCAGCCGGCCCGGCAGCACCGCCTTCCCCCCGGCGGGGGACGGCGAGAGCGGGGCCCAGCGCCGCGGCGTCGCCCCCCGCTCCCACCCCGAGAAGGTGGCCCAGCGCAAGAGCTCCATGACGCAGCTGCAGCAGTGGGTGAACTCGCGCCGCGCCACCGCGCCCGCCGAGGAGCTGCGCAGGTGAGGGTGCGCCAGGGTGGTGTTTGGCTCCGGGGCTGGTCCCTTTGGGAGTGTTCTGCATCTTCTCGTCTGGTTTGTGGCCTCCTGGGGGTCAGAAATCTCGTTTTTCTCTCGTTTTTTCTTTCTCTCGCCGTGCCAGCTCGGAGCTGGGTGTGGGGCATCCCAAAAAGGGGTGGGTTGTAGAGGGGCATCCCTGGGAGGAGGGAGGCCAGGATGGGGGAGCCATCACAGGATCCGTTGGAGGAGGGATACAAGGACAGGGAGCTACCAGGGGATCTCTGGGATGAGGGAGCCACCTCAGTGTCCCTGCAGGAGGGAGATGAGGAGAGGAGAGGAGACCACCATGAGATCCGCTGGGTGTGGGGCATCCCAAAAAGGGGTGGGTTGTAGAGGGGCATCCCTGGGAGGAGGGAGGCCAGGATGGGGGAGCCATCACAGGATCCGTTGGAGGAGGGATACAAGGACAGGGAGCCACCAGGGGATCTCTGGGATGAGGGAGCCACCTCAGTGTCCCTGCAGGAGGGAGATGAGGAGAGGAGAGGAGACCACCATGAGATCCCAGGGAGGAGGAATTCCTTGAGGGAAGGATCCCACAGAGCCCCTGGAAGGAGGAATTCCTTGAGGAGAAGCTCCCGTGGAACCCCTGGCAGGAGAAATTCCATGAGGGGGAAGCTCCTGGCAGGAGGAATTCCACAAGCATGGAACCCCTGGCAGGACAAATGCCACCCATCCAGCATTCCCCCTCTCGGGGTGTCCTTGCCCACCGCCAGCCCGGCTCTCACCTCTCTCTCCCCCTCTCCAGCCCCAGCAGGTTCTACCCCGTATCCCGCCGGGTGCCCGATTATTACTCGCCCTACTCGCCGCAGTACCCCGAGGAGTACCAGTACTACCCGCCGGGCGTGCGCCCCGACAGCATCTGCTCCATGCCCGCCTTCGACCGCGTCAGCCCCCCGTGGGCGCTGGAGGACAAGCGCCACTCCTTCCGCAACGGGGGTCCCTTCCACCCCGCCTTCGGCCGCCAGGACGTGCCGCTGTGGCTGCCGGCGCCCGCCAGGCCGCCGAGCTACCTGGACGAGGTGGACGCGGCCTCGGGCTCGCTGCGGAGGATGTCGCTGCAGCCGCGCTCGCGCTCGGTGCCGCGCTCGCCCAGCCAGGGCTCCTACGGCCGCGCCAGGGTTTACTCGCCCGTGCGCTCGCCCAGCGCCCGCTTCGAGCGGCTGCCGCCCCGCGGGGACGAGATCTACGCCGAGCCCGCCAGCTTCGTGATGCGCAGGTCCATCAGCTCGCCCAAGGTGGGCACCTGTGGGGCCGGGGTGTGGCCGTGTCCCGGCCGTGTCCCCTCTGTGTGCGCGGCCGGGCCCCAAAGTGACGCCAAGGCCGCGGTTTGTGGAACAAGGCGGGGGTGGGAGCTTTGTTGATGTCCTGCAAAGGGTCCCTGGTTGTGTTTGTTGGATGGGATGGGATCCGTGGGATGGGATCTGTGGGATGGGGTCTGTGGGATGGGATGGGATCCATGGGATGGGGTCTGTGGGATGGGATCCATGGGATGGGATGGGATGGGATGGGATGGGATGGGATGGGATGGGATGGGATGGGATGGGATGGGATCCATGGGATGGGATCTGTGGCATGTGGTGTTTTTAGAGGAAATGATGTGGAGTATTTAAAGGAAAACCAAGATTTTGCCCATGGCTTTTGGAGGAAAACCCCGATTTTGCCAGGGGGTTTTGGAGGAAAATCCTGGATTTGCCAGTAGTTTTTGGAGCAAAACTCTTGGGAGCCCAAGATGTGCTCCCACACAGGGAGCGCTGATGCCCCTGTCCCTTGTGCTCTCCCCCTGTCGCGTGTCCCTGATTTTGGGGTGGGGTCCCCTCTCTCCGCAGTACGATTACCTGGGTGACCGGCGGCCCGTCCCACCCGGGGTGTACCCCTACCACTTCCCGGCGTCCCCCACCATCCACGACAAAATGGTACGTACCTGCTGTCCCCTGGGGGGGTGACCCTGTGACAGGGGGCACAGAGCCCACCCCGGGGACGTGGGGCAGGCGGGGGGGTCCTCACTCAGGTGGCCAAGGAGGAGCTGGTGCACTCCAGGGGCAGAGCTGGGCCTTTCCTCGGTGGCTCCGCTCCCTGCTGGCCATTCCCGAAGGAATCCTCGTGGGAAGGTCCCTCTGTAGGAACGGGACACCCTCGGACCCCCAGGGTGGTCCCTGGCTGAGTCCAGCCCTCCCCAAACCCCGCTCTGCTTCCTCACATCTGGCCACAGCTGCTTTGTTCTCCTGCCTCGTGTCCCCTCCCGGAGCTGGGGGGTGACACCGGGAGGTCCCCGCAGATCCCAAAACCCTGGGACGGGACCGCCAGAGGAGGGAGAAGCCTGAATTTCACCTCAGCCCGCCCATGCCGCCCATCCATCCCCGCAGCCGGAGGCAGGGTCGCCCTAGAAATAAAAATATAAATGAGAAATCAGCTGCCCAAGGTTCCACGGGGCACATTCCCATTCCCAGCAGCATTCCCAGCAGCATTCCCGGCCCGGGGGCCATTCCACAGGCTCCCCCCTAACCGCTTTGCTTCTTCTTTTATGTGTTTTGCTGCTCGTTTCTTGCCTGCTGGCTCCTGGTAGGATGAACTTTTAGACCTTCAGTTGCAAAGAAACCTAGAATATTTGGACCAGCAGGTAGGCGGAGCTGGCTGCCAGCCTCACCTCACCGGCTGCTTCTCGTCCCCTGCCGTGTGCCCCGTGTCCCCGTGCCCTGCTGCCATCCATCCTCACCCCTTCTGGCATCCCAGCAGCATCCCAGCAGCACCAGTTGTCTTTTTTTTTTTTATTTTTGGTTTGGCTTCTTCCATCCTCTGCATCCGCAGGGCCGCTCATCGCCCGGCAGAAAAGTCGCCCCCCAACCTCTGGTGGTGCCTCTGTGTGGTTTTTTTGGGGGGTTTTGGGGCACGTTCTGGCATTTCTGGGAGTTGTCCCGGAGCTCAGGGGGTGCAGCAGCTCTGGAACGCCCCAGGTTGGTGCTGGGCACCCGCGCGGGCCGTGCTGTCCCCAAGGCTGGCACGCTTTGCCCGGGGTGTCCCCCGTGCCAGGGGTGGCAGGTGGCCTGTGGGGAGCGGGGCCGTGGTGATGTGGTGGCCCCTCGGGGGTGAAGGGTGTGGTGCAGGTGGGCACCAAAATCCAGCAGAGCTCAGGTGGTTCTGGAGAGGTTTTTGGAGGAAAATCTTGGTTTTGCCAGTGGTTTTGGAGGAAAACCTTGGTTTTGAATGGGGTGTATTGAGGAAAACCTTGATTTTGAATGGGGTGTATTGAAGAAAATCTTGGTTTTGCCAGGGTTTTGGAGGAAAACCTTAATTTTGAATGGGGTTTATTGAGGAAAATCTTGATTTTGAATGGGGTGTATTGAAGAAAATCTTGGTTTTGCCAGGGTTTTGGAGGAAAACCTTAATTTTGAATGGGGTTTATTGGGGAAAATCTTGATTTTGCCAGTGGTTTTTGGAGGAAAACCTTGGAGAAAAACTGTGATTTTGTCAGGGGTTTTGGAGGAAAATCCTGGATTTGCCAGTGGCTTTTGGAGGAAAACCTTAATTTTGCCAGTGGTTTTTGGAGGAAACCTTAATTTTGCCAGTGGTTTTTGGAGGAAACCTTAGTATTCACAGGGTTTTTGGAGGAAACCCCTGATTTTACCAGGGCTTTTTTGTGGGAAAACCCTGGAAGGAAAACCATGATTTTGTGTGGCGTTTTTGGAGGAAACCCCTGATTCTACCAGCAATTTTTGAAGGAAATCTGCACTGACTCCATCCCAGGAGCGCAGGGAGGAGGATCCAGCTGGGAGAACCCCAGTGCCGCATCCAGGCAGTGCCCAAAGCCTCAGGCTGGCACGGAGGGAGCTGCAGCCAGGCGGGCACGGAGGGAGCTGCTCCCAGCACAATCCCGATCCCGTTTGGCTGCGAATCTCCCGTGGCCGGGATCTGTGTCCGCCTTGGATTGGGGCCAGGATTTCCCACTGCAATAAAAGCTCCTCGCAGCGCCGCAGGCTCTTTAAAACGCTGCCTAAAAAGGTTTGGCATCTCCTCCTCATCCTCCTCCTGCTCTGGCAGCGGCCTCTGGAGAGGTTAATTCGGAGTGACGCTGTCAGGGGCCTCTTTTCAAGCTCCTCCTGCTCTGTTTGCTCTCTGCTCCCTCGCCCGCTGCAGCCCCAGCAGGGTTTGGGCCCCGCTGTGGTGACAAAGCGTTGTCACCTTTGGGATTTCGGCTGGGGTCTTCCCTGGAGTGTCCTGCTGGGTGGAGCTGCAGTGCTGGTGACTTGAGTGGCTTTGTCACCTGTCACCCAGGGAGCTCGGCCACCACTTCTTGGGGACAGTGCTGTCCCCGTGGAGTGGCACAGAGCGTGCCCGGCAGCAGGGATGTGCCATTCCCGGTGCCACCTGGAAAAGGGGACGCTGCTGTCCCCAACCCCAGTGTCGGTCACCTCCCCAGCACCCAGGGCCAGCCCCGTTGGGCACGGAGCCACAGGCAGTGCCAGGGCCTGTCCGTGTGTCCGTCTGTGTGCCAGGCCACGCCGCTGCCGTCCCTGTCCGAGCTCGTGTCCGTCTGTGCCATCCGGCTCTGTTTTATCCGTGTTTTCCCCCAAAAAAAAAGCGCACTCAAAGGAGCAACAGCAGCGCCGGGCCACATCCGGAGCCCCTGGGCCATCCCAGGGGGTGGCACTTTGCGTCCTGAGGGCTCCTGGAGGGGTCACCGCTGGCACAGGCGTGTCCCCGCTGACGCTGCCCTTTCCTTCCCTGTGTGCCGCAGATGAGCGAGAGCGAGACCCTCATCACTATGGTGAACAGGATGGTGGAGACCTCCTCCCCTAGGGCCCAGCTCTACATGCAAGTAAGGCTCCGGCCACCGGGCCCCGCATGGCTCGTGCCTGGCGGCCGTGCCACCCCCGCGCCGCCCGGGGTCACCTGCTGCCGCCCGGGGTCACCTGCTGCCACCCGGGGTCACCTGCTGCCGCCCGGGGTCACCTGCTGCCATCGCCACCCGCTCGGCGGCATCCGGCACATCCCGCTCTCGCTCCCGGGGGAGGCGCTGCTCCATCCCAGGCTTTGCTAATCCATCCATGAGCCATTCCAAGCCGGCAAATCCTCGTGCTGGCAGCGCGAGGTGGGCACGGAGCTGCCCCCGGGGTGCCCTGGGGACAGAGCCACCCCTGGAGACCCTTGGGGTCAGAGCCAGCCCCGGGGACTCTCGGGCGGAGCTGCTCTCGGGGACTCTTGGGGACAGAGATGCCCTGGGGATTCTTGGGGACAGAGCTGTCCTGGGGACTTTTGGGCACAGAGATGCCCCGGGAAGTCTTGGGGACGGAGCTGTCCCAGGGACTCTCGGGGACGGAGCCACCCCTGGGGACCCTTGGGGACAGAACTGCCCCAGGGACCCCCGGACACGCAGGACTTGGCTTGTCCTTGTTTCTCAAGGAGAAGCTGTGGGGTAGCAGGGATGCAGCTCTTAAACCAGCAGAATAATTCCTGAACCAGGGCCAGGGAACGGCCTCTCCCGCTCCCCGGAGGCTCCTTCTGTCCCCAGCGCTGCGACATCCCCGCAGTGTCACATGGCTTGCGCCCCCCCGGTGCCACCCACCCCGGGTTGTGCTGCCCTGGGCGCTTCCTGGATGGGATTTTCCAACAAAAACGGCGCCTGTTTGCCTCTGCTGCCGGCAGGGATGCGCTGGGGGTGGCTCGGGAGCTGCGGGATGCTCCTGCGGCTGGCCGGGCTCCCTGCCCGGGGGCGCCTCATCCCCACCCGCCCCGCTCTGCCTCCGGCCCCGCGGGCACTTCCCAGATCCGGATCCATTTGCATCCCCCCGGAGCTTTCCGTGGCTCCAAAGCGCCCTCTCTGCTTTCTAGCAACAACATCCCCTCCTGCCTATCTGCTGCCTTTCATCTCCGGCTCCGCCAGGCAGCTAATTGCCGAAGGTCCCATTAGTAATTGAGATTTCCAGGAAAGGAAAATGACTCACGGAGGAGCCGGGCGGGGGCAAACAGGCCCTGCTGCTGCTTTGTGGGTGCTCCCACTCCGCCGAGGTGGAATTGCAGCTCAATCGCGCTGCCTTTGTTTTCCCCGCCGCTGGAATGGTGGCGGTTCGTGATTCACGGGGCTCTCCCCGCATCCTTCCCGCTGGGAATGGGCAGGGAGAGGTCGTGGCTTCATCCCAGCGGCTCCCGAGCATCCATGGCTCCTCTTCCCGGCTCGCAGGGAGGGCAGAGGGGGCTGGGGGCTGCCTCCCCTTCCCGGGGCGAAGCGCGCACCCCGCGCTCACCCCGCGCTCCCCTTGCAGGTGACGCCGTTCCCGGAGCCCTACAGGGACACCCTGCAGCCCTACAAGATCAGCGAGCAGGACACGGATGTAAGAGCCCGTCCTGTCCCCTCTGTGTGTCCCCTGTCCCCGCAGCCGGTCGCTCTGTGCCCCTCAGGGGGGGATCTTCCCCTGAGTTTCGGTCCTGCCCCATCTCCCAGTTTATCCCGTGTCACCTCAAAGCCCCTGCAATGACAGCAGGAGTTTGGAACGCCCCCCAGAGCCATAAATCCCATAAATCCCGTAAATCCCATCAGTCCTGGCTGCATCCCAGTGGGATTCTCACCCTCCTCATCCTCTCCCCCTTTCTCTTGCCCCGGCGCAGAAGCTGCTGGGGAAGCTCTGCGAGCAGAACAAGGTGCTGCGGGAGCAGGAGAGGCTGGTGCAGCAGCTGCGGGCTGAGAAGGTACCTGGTGGCACCTCGGGTGGCCACATGGGGACCTGGGGGTGGCACCTGCGGGGCGAGGAAGTGACGTCACCACGGGAGGGTTTGGGTTGAACCTGGACAGCCAGGTGAGAATGTCCCCTGTCACCTTTAACCTGGACACCCAGGTGTGAGTGTCCCCTGCCACACCCTAACCTGGACATCCAGGTGTGTGTGTCACCTGTCACCCTTAGCCTGGACATCCAGGTCAGAGTGTCCCCTGCCACCCCTGAACCAGGTGAGAGTGTCCTCTGTCACCCTAAACCTGGACATCCAGGTGTCTGTCCCTTGTCACCCTTAACCTGGACACCCAGGTGAGTGTCACCTGTCACCCTGAACCTGGACATCCAGGTATATTTGTGTCCCCTGCCACCCCTGAACCAGGTCACAGTGTCCCCTGCCCCCCCTGAGCCAGGTAGTGTCACCTGTCACCCTTAACCTGGACATCCAGGTCAGAGTGTCCCCTGCCAGCCCTGAACCAGGTGAGAGTGTCCTCTGTCACCCTAAATCTGGACATCCAGGTGTCTGTCCCTTGTCACCCTTAACCTGGACACCCAGGTGAGTGTCACCTGTCACCCTGAACCTGGACATCCAGGTATATTTGTGTCCCCTGCCACCCCTGAACCAGGTCACAGTGTCCCCTGCCCCCCCTGAGCCAGGTGAGCAGGTCCCCTGTGCCCCCTGGCTTGCAGGGACATCACAAACCTCCCGTTCCACCCCTGAGCCGCTATCCCAGGTCTCCCACCTGGCTTTGGGCCCTTCCAGGGGTGTGGCAGCCGCAGCCTGGGGACATTTCTGAGCTGGGGGAGACTCCCGGTGTTCTGTTGAGCAGCCAGGACCTCGTGGCTGTGTCTGTCCCCGCAGGAGAGCCTGGAGAGCGCCCTGATGGGGACGCACCAGGAGCTGGAGATGTTCGGGAGCCAGCCCGCCTACCCCGAGAAGCTGCTGCACAAGAAGGAATCACTGCAGAACCAGCTCATCAACATCCGCGTGGAGCTGTCCCAGGCCCCGGGATTCAGGTCCCTTCTGTCCCTTTTGTCCCTTCTGTCCCTTCCTGGCTGGGAAATGAGCAGGGAATTCCCCTTGGCTGCCTGGGGGCCAAAGTCCTTCACTGGGACAAAGCGAATTAGGCACCCCCCAGATGCCACCTCTGCTGTGCCCCGGGCACCTCAGAGCTTGTCCCCTCTGCTGCCACCCCCTCCCCAGCTGGGGGGGCTGTGCTGGGTGCCAGAGACCCCCCCTGATCCCCCCCGTCCCCTCAGGCTCTGGCAAACAGCACGGCCGAGTACGAGAGCCTGGAGAGCGAGGTGTCCACCCTGCACGATGACCTCTGGGAGCAGCTCAACCTGGACATCCAGGTGAGTGTCCCCTGTCCCCTGAACCTGGACATCCAGGTGAGTGTCCCTTGAACCTGGACAGCCAGGTCAGAGTGTCCCCTGTCACCTTTAACCTGGATATCCAGGTGTGAGTGTGTCCCCTGTCACCTTTAACCTGGACATCCAGGTGTGTTTGTGTCCCCTGTCACCCCTAACCTGGACATCCAGGTGTGTGTGTCCCCTGTACCCTGGACGTGGACATCCAGGTGTGTGTGTCCCCTGTCACCCCTAACCTGGACATCCAGGTGTGTTTGTGTCCCCTGTCACCCCTAACCTGGACATCCAGGTGTGTGTGTGTCACCTGCCACCTTTAACCTGGACACCCAGGTGTGTGTGTCTCTGTCACCTTTAACCTTTACACCCAGGTGAGGGTGTCTCCTGTCACCTTTAACCTTTACACCCATGTCCCCTGCCACCCGTGGGGTCCCCACAGTGATGAGATCCCCCTGTCCCCACCCCTGGGCTCTCCATGCCCAGCCCTCATGTCCAGCTTTGCCCACCTGGGTGCCATCGAAGGGGACAGCCCAGGGTCCCCGCAGCCCCAGTGAGTTCTGGGGAGCGGATCCAGGGATTCCAGCAGGATAAAACAAACCCTCCAGGTGTGTTTGTGTCCCCTGTCACCCCTAACCTGGACATCCAGGTGTGTGTGTGTCACCTGCCACCTTTAACCTGGACACCCAGGTGTGTGTGTCTCTGTCACCTTTAACCTTTACACCCAGGTGAGGGTGTCCCCTGTCACCTTTAACCTTTACACCCATGTCCCCTGCCACCCGTGGGGTCCCCACAGTGATGAGATCCCCCTGTCCCCACCCCTGGGCTCTCCATGCCCAGCCCTCATGTCCAGCTTTGCCCACCTGGGTGCCATCGAAGGGGACAGCCCAGGGTCCCCGCAGCCCCAGTGAGTTCTGGGGAGCGGATCCAGGGATTCCAGCAGGATAAAACAAACCCTGGATGTGGCCAGGGTCAGCTCCCGTGGCTGGGTTTGGGGCCGGGCCCTGCCGGGTTTGGGGTTGGCACCGGTGCCCCCGGGACCCCTCCGAGCTCTGCCTCTGCCCGTCCAGAACGAGCTGCTGAACCGGCAGATCCAGAGGGAGATCTGGCGCATCCAGGACGTGATGGAGGGGCTGAGGAAGAACAACCCCTCCCGAGGCACCGACACGGCCAAGCACAGAGGTGAGGGGGCTGTCCCTGCTGGGCAGGGTGAAAACCCTCGTTATTATCTTTAATTATCTTTAATTATCTCGTTCCTCCGCAGTGGCCCTGGGCCCCTCGGGCACGTACAGCTCCAACAGCCCTGCCAGCCCGCTGAGCTCTGCCAGCCTCACCAGCCCCCTGAGCCCCTTCTCCCTCATCTCCGGCTCCCAGGGATCGCCCACCAAGCCCGGCCCTGGCGAGGTCAGTGACCCTGGGGTCCCCTCTGTGTCACCAGGGGGGTGGCAGGCTGCGGGGCACAGCTGCCCACCCTCCTGGCTCTGCCTGGTGACATGGATGCGCGCTGGTGTCCCCTGGTGACTTTGGGGTGCGTGGTCCTTGCAGGGCTGTGTGTCTGGAGGGGCAGGAGCAGCTCCTGGTGCCACCGCAGCCGCTCTGAGTGCCCTCACCCCGGGCTGGCACCACTTCACGCACAGCACGTTTATTTAGGGCACAATCTGGGGACTCCCCAACCCCTCCTGGCCGCAGAGAGGCGACACCAGTGCCCCCAGAGCTGCCAAGAACCCTTCACTGGCACAGCCCCGAGCCTGGGCACGAGCAGCAGGATGTGGCACCCCGGAGTCACTCCCTCTCCTCCATCCCTCCCTTCCTCCAGGACGCTCCCGCCGTGTGTCTGTCTGTCTGTTCTAACTCTTCTCTTCCTTCTCTGCTCTCCCGCCCGGCGCTCTGCCCGCCCCAGGAACCGGGCCCGCCTCGACCTCCCCTCCCCAAGTCCTACGTGCCCCTGGAGCCTCCTCCGGCCGTGCCCCCGCTGCCCAGCGAGAGCCGCCTGCGGCCGCACCCCGCCTCCCCGCCCTGGCAGCGGGGAGAGGCCAGGCGGGGACAGGTACCGAGCCTTCCTCCTCCTCCTCCTCCTCGTGGCACGGAAGGCGCTGGGGTGAGGCAGGAGCTGGAGCTGCCAGCCCTGGATGCACAGGGACAGCGTGGAGGTGGCACTTGGTGCAGGGACAGCGTGGAGGTGGCACCTGGCATGGGGACAGCGTGGAGGTGGCACTTGGTGCAGGGACAACATTGAGGTGGCACCTGGTGCAGGGACAGTGTGCAGGTGACACTTGGTACAGGGACAGTGTGGAGGTGGCACTTGGTGCAGGGACATTGAGGTGGCACTTGGCGTGGGGACGGTTTGCAGGTGGCACCTGGTGCAGGGACAGTGTGCAGGTGACACTTGGTACAGGGACAGTGTGGAGGTGGCATTTGGTGCAGGGACAGCATGCAGGTGACGCCTGGTGTAGGGAGAGTTTGGAGGTGGCACCTGGTGTGGGGACAGTGTGGAGGTGGCACCTGGTGCAGGGACAGCTCTTCATCCTGCCCTGCCACATCCCTGGTGTCCCCAGCAGGTGGCCACGGTCAGGACAGGGATTGTCCCCTCCTCTTCCTGGGGAGGTTGTCCCCGGTTGTCCCCTCTGCTTTGCTCTGCCTCTGTCACTGTCCTTCCGTGTCCATGTGGCAAAGCTGGATTTGGGAATTCCTGGTGGCACCTCGGCCGTGTGTGGGGACACAGGTGACAGGAGTGTCCCCACGGCCAGGGGTGGGGACGTGTGACCGTGGGAAAGCAGCGGCTGTGCCGAGCTGGGGAGGGGCACGGTGCCAGCACAGGTGGCACAGAGGTGGCTGTGTCATCCAGGGTGTCAGGGTGAATTTAGGGGGACACACGGGGCTGCTGGCCTGTTGTCACACCCCCCTGTCACCCCAGCAGTGTCAGGTGAATTTAGGGGGACACACGGGGCTGCTGGCCTGTTGTCACACCCCCCTGTCACCCCAGCGTCACCCCAGCAGTTCTCGTGGGGGAGGACCCCAGAACTGTCCCTTTGCTGGCCCTCGTGCCCCTGTGTGACCCCATGGGAGCCCAGCACGGAGCCAGGCTGTCCCTGTCCCCAGCTCCTGGTGGCTGTGGAGGGATTGTCACCCTGTCCCTCACTGTGGGCACAGGGCTTTGTGCCCACCCCGCCAGGAGGGGACAGAGCAGGGACAGGAGCAGAGCCCCCTCAGCCCCTCTGCCCGCAATTCTGGGGGGCTCTGGTCCTGCCTGGCCGCTGTCCGTGTGTCCTTGGAGTGTGACCATGGTCTGTTTGTCCCCCTCAGAGCAGCGGGTGTCCCCTCTCCATGTGTCCCTTGTGTGTCATCCCAAGAGCAGCGGGTGTCCCTTGCCTGTCACCCCACGAGCAGTGGGTGTCCCCTGCATGTCCCTGGTCTGTCACCCCCACAGCAGAGAGTGTCCCCTGTCCATGTGTCCCTTGCCTGTCACCCCAAGAGCAGCAGGTGTCCCCTGTGTGTCCCCTGGTCTGTCACCCCCAGAGCAGTGGTTGTCCCCAAGCAGAGCGTGTCCCCGTGCACAGCGTGTCCCCAAGCAGAGCGTGTCCCCAGACAGAGCGTGTCCCCGTGCAGAGCGTGTCCCCGTGCACAGCGTGTCCCCAAGCAGAGCATGTCCCCTGCACAGCGTGTCCCCGTGCAGAGCGTGTCCCCAAGCAGAGCGTGTCCCCGTGCACAGCGTGTCCCCGTGCACAGCGTGTCCCCAAGCAGAGCGTGTCCCCGTGCACAGCGTGTCCCCGTGCAGAGCATGTCCCCGTGCACAGCGTGTCCCCGTGCAGAGCGTGTCCCCGTGCAGAGCGCGTCCCCAGGCCGGTGCGGGGCTCACGGGGACCTCTCCCCCCGCACAGCCCAAGCCCGGCTCGGAGCCCAGCCAGAAGGAGCCGCCCCGGCCCAGCGGCCCCGGCCCCGCGCCCGAGGCGCTCCCGCAGGGCCGGCCGGAGCACGACGGCGACAAACAGGCGGCGACAAACAAGGGTACGGCATTGGGGACCCCGCCAGCACCCCGGGGTGGCACCGGGACCCTGCCCCGGGTCACTGAGGCTCATCCCGCTGTCGTGGTGTCCCCGCAGTGGGAATCGTCCCCCCCAGGACCAAATCTCCGGCGGAGGAGGAGGCGGTGCCCAGGAGGAACGGGCTGGCCAACGGGCTGGGCTCCCGGGTACGGCCGGGCTGGGGGCTGGGGGCTCGGCTGGGGGAGCCCAGGGGGGCTGGGGGCTCGGCTGGGGGGGCTGGGGGAGCCCAGCGGGACTCCGCTGCAGCCTGGGGACAGGAGTGTGTCTCCGTGTGTCACCGTGCACCTCCTGGAGACCCCCAGGGTGAATTCAGCACCTTCCCCGCTGCTGGGGAGTGACACCCTGGGAATGACATCCCCGGGAGTGACATTCCGGAGTGACATCCCGGGAGTGACACCCCGGGAGTTGTGGCCGCAGCTCTCTTCACAGAGAGCAGCAGGCACAGGGGAGTGACATCCCGGGAGTGACGCCCCGGGAGTGACACCCCGGGAGTCACAGACATCCCAGCGGCTCACGGCAGAGGGGGGTGGCACTGGGAGGATGTCACCGGCCACCCGCGGGTGACCGTGAGGCTGGGCTGGTCCCCAGGAGAGACCCAAGAGCGCCGCGTTCGCCGCCGAGAGCAAGGTGAAGATGAGCGTGGAGGAGCAGATGGACCGCATGAAGCGGCACCAGAGCGGCTCCATGAAGGAGAAGCGGCGCAGCCTGCAGCTCCCCGGGCCCCAGCCCGACCCCCCCGGCACCAAAACCCCCTCCTCCTACAAGGTGGTGAGTCCCTGAGCCCGGCCCAGGGAGCGGCGGCGACACCGCGGGGTGGCACCGGCGACAAGGCGCCGCCCCCTGGGGGACGCTGAGCGCGACGCGGTCCCCCCGCAGGTGCGGCGACACCGCAGCATCCACGAGGTGGACATCTCGGACCTGGAGGCCGCGCTGCGCTCCGACGAGCCCGGCAAGGTGTACGAGACGCCGCAGGAGGAGATCGCCCGGCTGCGCAAGATGGAGCTGGAGCCGCAGCACTACGACGTGGACATCAGCAAGGAGGTGAGCACGGCGTGTCCCCGGGGTGGCAGCAGCCCGGAGCCGTGTCCGGGCAGGGTTGGGGGTGAGCAGTGCGGGCTGGGGTCCCCAGAGTCCGGCACAGGCACCCCCTGAGCTCGTGCCACTGTCCCCAGCTGTCCACGCCGGACAAAGTCCTGATCCCCGAGCGCTACGTGGAGCTGGAGCCCGAGTCGCCCCTCAGCCCCGAGGAGATGAAGGAGAAGCAGAAGAAGGTGGAAAGGATCAAGACTCTCATTGCCAAGTCCAGGTGAGGCTGCAGTGCCCACGCTGGCCGTGCCAGGGGTCATCCTGAGGGGCTCTGACTACCCACCTGCAACCTGCACCCCTTCCCTGGGCACCCTGAGGGGCACTGACCACCCATCTCCATTCCTTCCCTGGGCACCCTGAGGCCACTGACCACCCACTGCACCCCTTCCCTGGGCATCCTGAGGGCACTGACCATGCACTGAACCCCTTCCCTGGGTATCCTCAGAGGGAACTGACCACCCACCTGTGACCTGTACCACTTCCCTGGGCACCCTGAGGGGCACTGACCATGCACTGAACCCCTTCCCTGGGTATCCTCAGAGGGAACTGACCACCCACTTGCAACCTGCACCCCTTCCCTGGGCGCCTTGAAGGGCACTGACCACCCATCTCCATTCCTTCCCTGGGCATCCTGAGGGCACTGAGCACCCACCTCCATCCCTTCCCTGGCCATTCCAAGACCACCCACCCACCTGCCCCCCTTCCCCCCCCCATCCCAGGGGACCCTGCTGCCCCTCTCCCATCCCCTTTTGGGGGTCCTGGCAGGGTGCTGACCCCGGGTGCCGTTCCCAGCCTGCAGAACGTCATCCCCCTGGGCGAGGGGGAGGTGGACGCCCCCCAGGACCCCGAGGTGCAGCTGCAGGAGCAGGAGAAGAGGATCGAGATCTCCTGTGCCCTGGCTGCCGAGGCCTCGCGGCGCGGCCGGATGCTCTCAGGTGAGCAACGGGGGCCTGGAGGGTCAGACCCTGCAGGACCCTGGCACAGCGAGGTGCCAGGAGGGCAGGGGCGTGAGGGCAGGTGTGGATGTGGAAGCAGAGTGGGCAGCAGAGGGGTCAGCCTTGGGACAGGGGCACAGGGGATGCCAACAGCTCCCGAGATCCTGGCGGGAGCAGCTGGGCACAGCTTCAGCACGAGGGTGGGAGTGCCTGGCTGGGTGGCATGAGGTGGCATGAGATGGCATGAGATGGCTGGGCAAGCACGGTGGCACCCCACGCAGGGAGGCTGCGGTGTCACCCCAAGGCCAGGGAATTGTGGTGTCACCCCGTGCCAGAGGGATCGAGGTGGCACGGGCTGGCACCTCGTGGCTGTGCATGGTGGCGCTTCATGCTGGGGGCGGGGGGATTGTGGTGGCACGCTGTGCCCAGTGAGCATGGTGACATCCTGTACGTGGCTGACCGCGGTGCCACACCGTGCCCGAGTGCCCACGGTGCCACACCATGCCTTGTCCATGAGGAGCCCTGCCGGGAGCTCACGTGTGCGTGCTGTGCCCAGCTGTCACTCTCTGTCCTTCCTGCCAGCTGTGGCTGCCCTGACAGCTGTGGCTGCTTGTCCTGCCAGCTGTGACTCTGCTCTGCCAGCTGTGGCTGTTTGTCCTGCCCAGCTATGGCTGCTTGTCCTGCCAGCTGTGGCTGCCCTGACAGCTGTGGCTGCTTGTCCTGCCAGCTGTGATTCTGTCCAACCTGCGCTTGCTTCCCCCCTTTCCTTTCTCTTTCCTCCCTGCCCCTGCCCTCCTCGCTGTCCCCTCCGCTCTGTCCCCTCCTCTCTGTCCCCCCCCGCGCTGTCCTCTCCCCGCTGTCCCCTCCGCTCTGTCCCCTCGGCTCTGTCCCCCCTCTCTGTCCCTCCCCGCTGTCCCCCCGCTGTCCCCTCCCTGTCCCGTGTCCTCAGCCTGTCCCGTTCTCGTTTCCAGCTCAGTGCGCCACCCCCAGCCCTCCCACCTCCCCAGCCTCCCCGACTCCACCGACCAACCCCCTCTCGTCCGAGCCGCCCCGGGCCGACGGCAGCCACCTCATGCGGGTGTGAGCCTGTGACGTAAGCACCTCTTCTCTCTGACGTCATCCCCCCATCCCCGCGCTGCCACGTCAGCCCCGGCTCCTCCATGGACCGAGCGTCCCCCCCAAAAGCCGAGGGGGGAAATGGGGGAGCCCAGCATGAAAACCGGGGGGTCCCAGCCTCCCCCCGCTCCTCGGAGCCGCGTGTCCCCCGGGGGGGTGGGCGCGGGGTGGAGCCCCCCGGCTCAGCCCCCCGGTCCTGTCCTGTCCCCCCTCCCCAGCTCAAGCCCTGGCTGCTGCCGGCGCCGTCAAGTTCCACGGGGCCACGTTTTAGTCCCCTCCTGAGGTGACACCGGACCTCTCGCCACCGTCCTCGGCTCTCCCGGACCCCCTTCCCTCCCTGCGGCGGCGACAGCAGCGGGACAGGCGGCACCCCCGGGAGCCCTGTCCCGAGGAGGCGGGCGGGGGCCGGGGTTGTCCCCAAGGAGCCCCCGGGGCTGTCAGCGGCCACCGGGACACACCCGGACAGCCGGGACTGTGGCCACAGGGACAGCCGTGACAGCTGTGACAGCGGCCACCAGGGCGCACTCAGACAGCCATGACGGTGGCCACCAGGACAGCCATGACAGTGGCCACCACGACAGCTGTGACAGTGGCTACAAGGACATAGCTGTGACAGCGGCCACCAGGACAGCTGTGGCAGTGGCCACAAAGGCACAACTGTGACAGTGGCCACCAGGACACAGCTGTGACAGTGGCCACCAGCCCAGTGGCGAGCGCAGCACTCCTGGGACGGCCCCCAAGGTCTGTGAAGGGGCTCTTGGGTGGGGACCCGCCTGTCCCCACCGCGGATGGTGCTGCCACCTCCCAGCAGACCCGGATGTCCCCCCCGGCTCCTCGGGCGCCGTTTCCCCTCCCTGAGCCCTGACCCTGGTTTTGGAACCCGTCCGTGTCACCAGCGGTGGCCCAGCCGGAGGGAGAGGGGACAGGACGGGTGGAGGTGGCACTGGGGGCACACGGAGGTGGCACTGCGGGCACACGGAGGTGCCCAGGGCGCTCCGGGGCGCTCCAAGCACGGAGCTCCGGGCAGGGATGGGGCACAGCAGGGAATTGGGGTGCCAGGCGGGATAACGGAGCTGTGGGGTCGGCACAGACCCCCTGTGGAGGGTGGGGATGGTGCTGAGGAGGGGTTTGGGGACAGAGGTGTCACCTGGGGACCTGCTGTCACCCTCCAAAAATCCCTTCCCGCTGCTCTCCAGCCCCTTCCAGCGGTTCGGATTTCCTGTAGCAAATTCCCCTTTTCTTCATCACCCCGGAGGATGGGAAAGAATCAGAATCCCTGGAAGGATGCGAGCGTGGCAGGGGCCAGGAGCTGGATCCCAAATCCCAAACCTCCAACCCCAAATCCCATCCATCCCAAACCCCCAGGACCTCCCTGCATCCCAATGCCAATTTAGCAATACTTGTAGGATCCCTGGAGCCCCAAACCCCGCTGCCCTCTGAGCCTCCCTCAGCCCCTTTAGCTCATAAAGCTGGCCCTTTATTTTGCTATTTACATGCCTTAATATATGTTTGATGGAAATTCTACATTTATAATATATATCTATATTTGGTTTTCCTCTTCTTTTCCCGGGAAAAAAGCTCGTGCCGAGCTCTCTCTTCTCCGCAGGATTTGTTGGTGGCAGCCCCGCCAACAAAAAAACATAAATAAAGATTCTTTGCCAATTTATCAGAGGGGGAAGGAAATAAAAAAAATAAAACAAAAAAAAACCAAAAAAAAGAAGAAGAAAAAAAAAAGGAAAAAAACCTATTTAAAAATATATATCTATTTTTTCTGCTTTTATTAAAAGCAAATTTATTTAAAATAAAATATACAGAGACTGTAAGTTTGAAAAGAGGATGAGTTTATTTCCCCGTGTCCCCTCTCGGGTCACTGGGGCAGACCCCCCCCTTATTTTGGGGACACCTTGGAGACATCCTGGGGTGGCTGTGGGGCAGCAATTCCCATCTCCAGGACCCAAAGCCACCAGCTGCTGTCCCCAAGGTGTGACCCAGCTCTGATTTTATTTTATTTAAAAAAAAAACAATAATAAAAAAAAGGAAACCAAACCTTAATCAATTAATTTTATTTTGGTTATTATTTTTCATAAACACTTCATAAAGCAGTGACTTGTTAACCCGGAAAGGATTTGCATCGGGAGGAAGTAAATAAAGAAAGAAATAAATCTATTTATGCATTCAGAGAGGGTGGGACGGGAGGGCTTTGGTTTTCTGGGATATTTTCCTAGCGGTAGAGAAATAAAAATATCTATGAAACAACAACATTTTCCAGTCTTTTTTTTTTTCCAGGGGTGGGCTTGGATGTGGATTTTAATTTGGGTTGGAGAAGCAGGGGGTGATGGGGCTCCAGGGGCAGCTGCTCCTCCCTCTCCCTGATTTTTTGGGATTTATGTTCGCACTAGGGTTGGGTTTGGTGGAGGGATAGAATTCCTGTCCCTGGGCAGTTGTGGGATAAATGTTGGGTTTGCGTGGCTCTGGGGTGACAGAGGTGACACAGGGGCCCTGTGCTGGGTCTGGAGGAGCCGATATTCCCGCAGCAACCAGTAAGTCCCAGGAGTTCGGGGATTCCCAAAACTCTCCCACGGGGCAGCCTGGGATCCACGGGATCCATGGGAATCTACACGAGCTGTGATTCCTGGGAACACTGCAGGGACCTCTGCTGTCCCCTCGGTGCCACTCAGCCACCCCAAGGAAGCCACAATCTCCCTGGTTTTCCTGTTTTAGGGATCCATCCCATCCCATCCCATCCCATCCCATCCCATCCCATCCCATCCCATCCCATCCCAGGGAACCCATCCAACGGGACAGGGAGGACAGGACCAGCAGGGTCTGGTGGCCATGAGCCACTGTGTCCGCCTTGGAGCCACCATGTCCCCGTGGGGCCACCCTGTCCTCCCTGGAGCCACCATGTCCCTCTGGAACCACTGTATCCTCTCTGGAGCCACCATGTCCCCCTAGGAGCCACCATGTCTGTCTGGAGTCACCATGACCCCTGGAGCCACTGTGTCCCTTCTGGAGCCATCCTGTCCCCGTAGGAGTCACTGTGTCCCTCAGGAGCCACCACATCCCCCCTGGAGCCACTGTGTCCCTCTGGAGCCACCATGTCCCTCTAGGAAATCCCGTGTCACTCAGGAGCCCTTGTGTCCCTTCTGGAGCCATCATGTCCTTGTAGGAGCCACCATGTCCCACTGGAGCCACCATGTCCTCCTTGGAGCCACCATGTCCCTCAAGAGCCACCATGTCCCCCTAGGAAATCCCGTGTCACTCAGGAGCCCTTGTGCCCCTTCTTGAGCCCCCATGTCCCTTCTGGAGCCACCATGTCCTCCTTGGATCCATCACATCCCCTCTGGAGCCACCGTGACCCCTGGAGCCCCTGTGTCCCTTCCGGAGCCGCCGTGTCCCGCGGCGGTGGCACCGTGGGCGTTCCCGGGCCGTTAATGATTCCCAGGATGACGTGGGGACTAAAGGGCTTTTCCAAGGGTCACTCTGCGAGTGGGGCCACCCTCGCCCGGGGGCCACCGTGTCCTCCCTGGAGCCACCATGTCCCCCTAGGAAATCCCATGTCACTCAGGAGCCCTTGTGTCCCTTCTGGAGCCACCATGTCCCTTCTGGAGCCCCTGTGTCCCTTCCGGAGCCGCCGTGTCCCGCGGCGGTGGCACCGTGGGCGTTCCCGGGCCGTTAATGATTCCCAGGATGACGTGGGGACTAAAGGGCTTTTCCAAGGGTCACTCTGCGAGTGGGGCCACCCTCGCCCGGCCCCGTCACCGCCAAGATGGTGTCCCTGAGCGACTTCCAGCGTAAGTGGGCGCGGGGTGGTCGTGTCCCCATGGGAATTCCCGTCCCGGCTGGAATTCGGGATCTGGGATCTCCGTGGGGATCTCTGGCGGATCCCAGTCCCGGCCGGGATCCCCCTGGATGGGGTGGTTGGGGTGAGGTGGAAAAGGGGATGGGCTGGGGGTGGGGAGATTCTCCAGGATCATCCAGGGATCGTCTCCAGCTTTTCCTGGAGGGAAAGGGGAAAGGGAAAGGCTCAGGGAAAGGCTGGGCAGGGATTTCCCGGGGAGTTTTCCTTTGTGGCTCCCGATTTATCCGGTGCCCTCGGGAGTTTCTGGGGCACCTACGACCTCCTGCAGGCCTGGCCTGGGCACAAAGGCTGGTGCTGAGGTTTGGGGGAAAGCCCAAAGGGTATTTTTGCAGCGTGGGGTGGTCGTGTCCCCATGGGAATTCCCGTCCCGGCTGGAATTCGGGATCTGGGATCTCCGTGGGGATCTCTGGCGGATCCCAGTCCCGGCCGGGATCCCCCTGGATGGGGTGGTTGGGGTGAGGTGGAAAAGGGGATGGGCTGGGGGTGGGGAGATTCTCCAGGATCATCCAGGGATCGTCTCCAGCTTTTCCTGGAGGGAAAGGGGAAAGGGAAAGGCTCAGGGAAAGGCTGGGCAGGGATTTCCCGGGGAGTTTTCCTTTGTGGCTCCCGATTTATCCGGTGCCCTCGGGGGTTTCTGGGGCACCTACGACCTCCTGCAGGCCTGGCCTGGGCACAAAGGCTGGTGCTGAGGTTTGGGGGAAAGCCCAAAGGGTATTTTTGGGGAGGAGCGGGACAGGGAGGTGCTGGGACCCCGGTGTGGAGCCTCTGCCCGCCCGTTTTCCACAGGGATCGGAGTGGGCCTGGTCGGCTTCGGCCTCTTCTTCCTCCTCTTTGGGATCCTCCTCTACTTCGACTCGGTGCTCCTGGCTTTTGGGAACGTGAGTAGGGCCGGCCTGGGGGTCCCCACAGCGGGATCAAGGAGCGGCCCTGACCCTCTCCCCTCCCTCCTCCCAGCTCCTCTTCCTCTCCGGCTTGGTCTTCATCATCGGCTTCCGGAGGACCTTCACCTTCTTCTTCCAGCGGCCCAAGCTGAAGGGCACCAGCTTCTTCTTCGGGGGGCTCATCGTGGTCCTCATGCGGTGGCCGATCCTGGGCATGCTGCTGGAGGCCTACGGCTTCGTGTCCCTCTTCAGGTGAGGGATGGGATCCTGGGCATGGGATCCCTGGGATGGGATCCTGGGGATGGGATCCTCGGGATGGGATCCTGGGGATGGGATCCTGGGGATGGGACCCCTGGGATGGGATCCCGGGGATGGGATCCCGGGGATGGGATCCTCGGGATGGGATTCTGGGGATGGGATCCTGGGGAGGGGATCTTCATGATGGGATCCTGGGGAGGGGATCCTGGGGTTGGGATCCTCATGATGGGGTCCTCGGGATGGGATGCTGGGGAGGGGGTCCCAGGGATGGGATCCTCTGGATGGGATCCTCAGGATGGAATCCTGGGGATGGGATCCTGGGGAGAGGATCCTCATGATGGGATCCTCATTATGGGATCCTTAGGATGGGATCCTCATGATGAAATCCTTGGGATGGGATCCTGGGATGGGATTCTGGGGATGGGATCCTGGGGAGGGGATTCTGGGGATGGGATCCTCGGGATGGAATCCCTGGGATGATCCCTCAGGATGAGATCCTTGAGATGGGATCCTTGGTATGGGATCTTCATGAAAGGAACCTCAGGATGGGCTCCTTGGGATGAGAACCTCGGGATGGAGCCTGTCCTCAGGATGGAATCCCGGGGATGGGATCCTCGGGATGGAGCCTGGGCTCGGGGGATGCTCCCCAGAGCTCAACGGGGCCTTTTGTGTCCACACAGGAGCTTCTTCCCAGTGGTTTTCGGGTTTTTGGGCTCGCTGGCAAACATCCCCCTGCTGAGCCAGGTGAGGCTGGGGACCCTCGGGGTGGGCAGTGCCCGGCTGGGATCCGTCCCCACGGATGGGATTGCGCAGGAAATGTCACCGTGGAGTCCCCAGAGCTGGCCGGGTGGATGTTCCCGCTAATCCTGGTCTATCCCTGTCGCAGCTCCTGCAGAAGATGGGGGACAGTGGCTCCATGGTGTGACCTGACCAGCTCTGGGCCGAGTGGCTGCGATGGGACACGGTGAGAGAGCGCCAGGTCTGGCTGTCCCCAAGAGCTGGTGACTCTTTTGTCCCCAGGACCCTCAGTGCTGGCCAGAGCCGCCCCCAGCAGGGACGGTGTCCCCTCACTGTCCCCCGGAGCTCCTGAGCCAGGCTCCGGGGTCCAAGGGCTGTGCCAGGCTGGATTCTGGAATTCTTGCAGTTATTTAATTCTTTTCTGTGAAAGATTTAATTTAATAAAAAAATATCTGAGAGCGAGCTCACACTCGGCTCCTTTCCCACGGCTCAGGGCTTGTCCCAGCGCTGGCACCTCCCGATGTCACCAGGAGTCACCGTGGCCATGGCTGGAGGTGGCACAGGGACATTCCCATGGCTGAGGGTGGCACAAGGACATTCCAGAGGCTGGAGGTGGCACAGGGACATTCCCATGCCTGGAAGTGGCACAGGAACCTTCTCCTGGCCATGGCTGGAGAGGGCACAGGGACATTCCTGAGGCTGGAGATGGCATGGGGACATTCCCATGGCCAGCACTGGGGGTGGCACAGGGCCCTTCCCGTGGCAGGAGCTCCCCCCGTGTCACCCCAGGTGACTTTAAGGAGATTTTCCGCCCGGCTGCCGAGGTTCCTGTCCCCAGGAGAGCAGGTTGGATCCAGGGCTGAGGCTGAGCCCAGCCAGGCTCCGGGAGCGCTGGGGAAGCTGGAGTTTAATTAAACCCAAAAGCAATCTCATCAAAGCTGCTCCTCCTTAACGAGCGGGAATTAATTAACGAGTTTGAGCTGAACATGTTCCCTCTGGAGCGTGATGGGAGATGGTGGCTCTGTGTCTGCTGTCACCTGTTGTCACCGAGCAATGGCTGCTGTCACCTGGCTGTGCCCATTGTCACCCAGCTGTGCCTGGGTGGCATTGAGGAATCCCAGAATTATGGAATGCTTTGGGGTTTTAGGGATTTTAATGCCCATCCCACTCCCTGCCATGGGACACCTTCCCTTACCCCAGGTCGCTCCAAAACCCACCCAGACACTTCCTTCATTCCTTCCACCCCATCTCCCCCAGGATTCTCCACTCCTTCCATCCCAGCTTGTCCAGGATCCTCCATCTCTTTCCCACCTTGTCAGTCCATCTTCTCCAGGTTCCTCCATTCCATCCCACCCCATCTCTTCCAGGATCCTCCATTACATCTTTCCCACTTCCTTCAGAATCCTCCATTCCTTCCATCCCATCTCCCCCAGGATCGCCCACCTCCCTCCTTCCCCATCTCCCCCAGGATCCTCCATTCCATCCCACCCCATCTCCTCCACCATTTTCCTTCTTCCCACCCCATCCCATCCCCATTCCCATCCCCCTCTCTCCATCCCCCAAACCCACCCCAGCCCTGCCCGTGACCCCAATCCCAGCCCCCCAGAGATGTCCCCGTCCCCCGCAGCTTTTCCAGGCTGGGAAGACCCTCAGGGAAGGGCTGGGAGCTCTTTAGCCGGAGCTCCTCTCCGGAAGGATTTTCCCGGGAATGTTTTTCCCCCAGCTCTGTAAATCCTCTCTCTGGCAGGGTTTTGGTTCCAAGCAGCAGCTCCGGGTTTGCCCTGACGTCAATCCCCCAATTCCCCCGGTGCCATCCAGAGCCTCCCCCCAGCCCTTCCCAAAAGTTGTTTTTACCCCGGAGCTTTTCGGAACGAGGATCCTCACGAGCCTCGTGTTCACCAGCAGCAAAATCCTGGATTACAAAAATGTGGAAAATGCCAGGGAAGAGAAGAAATCCACCTCCTTTTTTTGGTGCTGCTCCAAAAAAATCCCTCAGGAAATCGAAGCTGTTCAGCCAAACTTCCTAATGATTTTCTTTGGAGCGGGAAGAGCTAAAAAATTTGGATTTTATTTTAAGGAAAGCACCCACACAGCCTGGCAGGAGAGAGGAAGGAATTTACCCATGGGAAAGGCAATTTTTCCTCTCTGCGAAATGTTTTCCTTCCAATCTCCCTGAAAAACAAGCAGGAAAATAACAGGAAAATTCCCTGCTATTTCCAGAGGAGCTGCTCCTGGTGGGATCTGTAACTGGATAAAACCCTGGGATTTTGGAGCAAGGTTCCCCACATGGATCCAGTGAGGGATTCCTGCCTTTCCCTGGAACCTCCTGTGCTTGAAATTCCACTTAAGGGATATTTTGGGGCCGCATGGGAAGAGTTCAGGACCTTCCCTGTGGATCTGAAGGGCTGGGAATGAACCCAGCGCTGTCCCAGAGCTGCCTGATGTCGCTGTCCCCTTCCCTCCCGTGTCCCTATCCCTCTGACTCCCCCCAAAACCACTTTTCCAGGTTTTTTAAGCCTTTTCCATCACTGCAGATGGAACTGGGGAATTCCTGGGGGAGTTTTCCCAGCATTGGGAACGTGTCCCATGCTGGGGACACCCCAGAGCCCTGGGGCTGGGACAGCCACCCCAGAGCAGCAGCCCTTGGCTCTCTGATGGATTTGGGGAAGTTGCTTTTCCCCGTTTTCCCTCCATTTCCCATCCCAGGGGGTTTTGGGGCCACCCCGGTGGCAGGGAAGGGTCGTGCCCCTTTGCCCTTCCCTGTAGGAGTGTGCTCCCTAATGACAGAGTGGCAAAGCCGGCCTTTGTCCCCCCAAAAAAGGAAAGAAGCCCAGAAGTTTCTCTCAACGATGAGGTGAAAAGCCACCTCATAGGACCTCAGAGACTTCACCCAAAACTCGGGGTCATCCAATTGGATAGAAGCCAAAAAGTCCCGCCTGGGCCATCGGGTAGAAAAGAAGAGAACAAAAGAACTGAAGTGCTTTTGTGAGGTGTCCACACCAGGAGCAGACCTCTGTACCCGGCTCGAGTTTTTCTGTTTGTTATTTTGCCTTTTATTAAACCTTTTTTGTTTCTAACACTGCAGCAGAAGCCATCCTGCTCATTCTTTGCCCCCAAAAGGTAATAGCTGAGCTATCCTTGGGTGTGTTAGGTTCCCTTTTGAGGGTTTGTAAGACCTGGCCTGAGAAAAAGAAACCGAACACTTCCCAGCCCACCCCACCCTGGATCCCCCACAGGAGAGGGGTCCTGCTGTGCCTGCCGGGACAAAGCCGTGCCCAGAGCACCCCAAATCCTCGGGGATCCTACAGACGTGGGTCAGAAGGGGCTGCAAATTCAGATCCCCACCAACGGGAACCCCTTTTCCTTTGGAATCCTGCTGAGGGAGCCTGGCAGAGCCCGCGGGATGCCCGGGCAGGGATTTATGGCCGCGGGCTCCCTGCCAGGCTCTCTCACGTCCCGCAGCTCCTGACCCCGCTCCCTGCCCGCAACCTGCGCCGGGCACGAGGCTGCCCCGAGTGACGCAGGGACACGGGTCCTGCGTGGGAACGGACGTCAGGGATGGGGCAGAGCCCCGCGGGGCTGAGCCCTGCGGCCTGGGGGGTCAGCAGGGCCCTGGCAGCCAAAATCCCGCAGGGAGCGGGGCGGTAAAACTCCGGTTTGGGGGGAGAGTTGTTTGGAGTTTGTGGGGTGGAGTGGGGTGACAGCAGCGCCCTGAGCAAATCCTATAAACGGGAGGGGGATTGTGGGGCTGGGGGGATGTGTTCTCGGGGTTCATCCATTAACAAATCCCATAAATGGGAGGGGGATTGTGGATTTGGGGGGGATGTGTCCTCAGGGTTCATCCATGAGGAAATCCCGTAAACGGGAGGGGGATTGTGGGGCTGGAGTGGGGGGATGTGTTCTCAGGGTTCATCCAAGAGCAAATCCCATAAATGGAAGGGGGATTGTGGGGTTGGGGGAATGTGTCCTTGGGGTTCATCCACGAAAAAATCCCATAAATGGGAGGGGGATTGTGGGGATGAGTCCTCGAGGTTCATCCAAGAGCAAATCCTATAAATGGAAGGGGGGTTTTGGGGTTGGGGTGGGGGGGATGTGTTTTGGGGGTTCATCCATGAGCAAATCCCATAAACAGGAGGGGGATTGTGGGGCTGGGGGAATGTGTCCTCGGGGTTCATCCATGAACAAATCCCATAAACAGAAGGGGGATTGTGAGGTTGGGGTGGGGGGATGTGTCCTCAAGGTTCATCCAAGAACAAATCCTATAAATGGAAGGGGGATTGTGGGGTTGGGGGAATGTGTCCTTGGGGTTCATCCACGAAAAAATCCCATAAATGGGAGGGGGATTGTGGGGATGAGTCCTCGAGGTTCATCCAAGAGCAAATCCTATAAATGGAAGGGGGGTTTTGGGGTTGGGGGAATGTGTCCTTGGGGTTCATCCACGAAAAAATCCCATAAATGGGAGGGGGATTGTGGGGATGAGTCCTCGAGGTTCATCCAAGAGCAAATCCTATAAATGGAAGGGGGATTGTGGGGTTGGGGGAATGTGTCCTTGGGGTTCATCCACGAAAAAATCCCATAAATGGGAGGGGGATTGTGGGGATGAGTCCTCGAGGTTCATCCAAGAGCAGGGGGATTGTGGGGCTGGGGTGGGGGGATGAGTCCTCAGGGTTCATCCACGGGCAAATCCCATAAACAGGAGGATGATTGTGGGGCTGGGGTGGGGGTGGGAGGGCATGTGTCCTCGGGGTTCATCCAAGAACATTTTTATTGCCCTTGGAGTCATTTCCCACCGAGATTCCTGAGGTCAGGAGACCCTGGGAGCCGCGGGGCTGATGCAGCACCCCCCACCCTGGGCTGGGCACTGCCAGGGGGGCACAGCGGCCTGGAGGGGGGCCAGGGGTGCAGCTGGAAGCTCCTGAGGGTTTCGAGCTCCATCTCCCACCCCAAACACCAGGACCTGACCCCGGATGGAGCAGCTGGGATGAGTTTGGCCGTTCCCTGCTCCGAGCTCCAGGCCTGGTTTGACAGAGCTGGGGCTGGGGGGTCCCCAGAGCACCCCCCAAAGGGCAGAGGGGGCTGGGGGTCCTCACTCGGTGTCCCCATGGCCAGCAGGGCTGAGTGCCCTTCGCCATTCCCCTTCCCTTGGGGAAAATCCCATCTGCAGCTGCAGTTTGGGGACATCCTGGCCGGGATGTCACCCAGACCTGTGCCACCACCCGGCAGCTCTCCCAGCTGGCACCAGCAGGGATTTCCTGTGGGGATTCAGCGGAGGAATTCGGGAGCAATTAACCCCAAGGAATGTGGGATCCACCTCCCAAATATCCACAGCTCCCCTTGGCACATTCCCGCGGGGCACGGGGGGCATCCTGGCCCTGCCACCCCCGTGGGGACTGCCCAGTGTTCTCCATGCCATTCCCACCCTGCCCAGTGCCATCCATACCATTCCCAGCCTGCCCAGTTTTATCCATGCCATTCCCAGTGCCATCCATGCCATTCCCAGCTCTCCCAGTGCCCCCCATGCCATTCCCAACCTGCTCAGTCCGATCCATGCCATTCCCAGTGCCATCCATGCCATTCCCAGTCCTGCCCAGTTCTATCCATGCCATTCCCAGCCTGCCCAGTGCCCCCCATGCCATGCCCAGCCCTGCCCCTGCCAGGGGAGGAGGATCCCGCCGGGATGGGGGATCCCGGGCTATAAAAGCTTCCTGCGCTCCGGGAGGGGCCGGCACGGAGCCGCGGGCCGGGAGGGGACAGCGGGGACGCGATGGCGGTGGCACCCAGCGGGAGGCTGCGGCGCTGCCTGCTGCTCCTGGCTGTCACCTGCGGCGCCACTTTTGTCCCCTCGCCAGCGCAGGCTTTGCAGAGGTAGCCGGAGCTCGCGTGGCTGTCCCCGCTTTGACTCCCGGGGTCTGCTGAGGAGGGCGAGGGGCTTTGCTGCTTCACCCCCTTCCTCCTCCTCCTCCTCCTCTCTGCTCTTCCTCGAGCACCGCCTGCTCACGAGCGCGGGGGTCTTTCCTAACTTAAACCATTTGGGAGCACCCCGAATCCCAAATAACCGAGTTTGGGGCCGGCCTCGGGGTCTGCGGCTGCCCCCAGCCCACCTGGGGGTCCCCAGCCCACCTGGGGGTCCCCACCCTGCTCCGGGAGCGGGACCCGCCGGGGCAGCGGCGTGGAGCTGCTGCCATCTAGAGCCACCGGGCTGGAGCTCCCGAGGCCGGGAATGCCGCTGGAAGCTGCCGGGGGGCTGGGGGGGATCCCCCGGTGCCCCCCAGCTCTGCCGTGCCCCCCAGGATCGCCCTGCGGAGGATGCCCTCCATCCGCCAGACGCTGCGGGAGATGGGCGTGAAGGTGCGGGACGTGTTCCCCGAGCTGCGCCGCGCCACCCACGCGGGAGGGGACGGTCCCCGCAACGGGACAGCCCCCACGCTGCTCACCAACTACCTGGATGTGAGTGTGGCCCTGCCCGGGACGGGGCTTTGTCACCGCCGTGTCCCCCGGCAGCCCCGGCTGGGCTCGGGGTGAGCTCGGGGGTGCCCCCCGTCCCTCCCCCCCAGACCCAATATTTCGGCGAGATCAGCATCGGGACCCCCGCGCAGACCTTCAAGGTGGTCTTTGACACGGGCTCGGCCAACCTGTGGGTGCCGTCCTACAAGTGCTCCCCCCTCTACAGCGCCTGTGGTGAGTTGGGGGGCACGGCACCCCCCAAAACCTCAGCGACCCCCAGGGCTGCTGGGGGGGGTCTCGTTTCTGGTGATTTTTTCATGGGGGGTCTCTCTGTTGGTGTCCAGACCTCTGGCACTGAGGCGGGGTGGGTCCATTACCCACTCCCCCGGGGGTTTTGGGGGGACAGAGGTGCCCCGTGCCCCTCTGGGATGTCCCCTCTCGCTGTCCCCAGTGTCCCACAGCCGCTACGACTCCTCCAAGTCGCGCACGTACATCGCCAACGGCACCGGCTTCGCCATCCGCTACGGCACCGGCAGCGTCAAGGGCGTGCTCAGCCAGGACATCGTCATGGTGAGCCCGGGGCCCCCAGACCCCCAAATCCACACCTGGAACCCCCAGACCCCCAAATCCACACCTGGGGCACACAGAACCCCCAAATCCACACCTGGGGCACACAGACCCCCAAATCCACACACCTGGAATCCACAGAGCCCCCAAATCCACACCTGGGGCACACAGAGCCCCCAAATCCACACACCTGGAATCCACAGAAACCCCAAATCCACATACCTGAAACCCCCAGACCCCCAAATCCACACCTGGGATCCACAGAGCCCCCAAATTCCACACACCTAAAATCCCAAAATCCACACACCTGAAACCCCCAGAGCCCCCAAATCCACACCTGGGATCCACAGAGCCCCCAAATTCCACACACCTAAAATCCCAAAATTCACACACTGGAACCCACAGATCCCCCAAAATCTACACACCTGGGATCCACAGAACCCCCAAAATTCACACACTGGAACCCACAGATCCCCCAAAATCTACACACCTGGAACATGCAGAATCCCCAAATTCCACACACCTGGAACCCACAGAACCCCAAACACCACACGCTGGAACCCACAGAACCCCAAATCCCACACGCTGGAACCCACAGAACCCCAAATCCCACACGCTGGAACCCACAGAACCCCCAGCCCCACACCCCCAGCTCCTCTGCCTCAGCCAGGAGCCGTGTGTGGGGTATTTTTTTGGGGTGTTCCATCCCTCCCAGCCCCCGTGCCTCCCGCAGGTGTCGGACATCCCGATCATCCAGGTGTTCGCCGAGGCCACGGCGCTGCCCGCCTTCCCCTTCATCTTCGCCCGCTTCGACGGCGTGCTGGGCATGGGCTACCCCAGCCAGGCCGTGGACGGCATCACGCCCGTCTTCGACCGCATCCTGGCGCAGCACATCCTCCAGGAGGACGCCTTCTCCGTCTACTACAGCCGGTGGGCAGCGGGGACACCCCCAAAACCGGGCTGGGGGACACCCCCAAAACCGGGCTGGGCTGGGGGACACCCCCAAAACGGGGCTGGGTTTGGGGACACGGGCATGGCAGGGATGGGGATGGAGGGATGGGGATGGGATCCATGGGATGGGATGGGATGGGATGGGATGGGATGGGATGGGATGGGATGGGATGGGATGGGGTGGAGGATCCTGGAGGAGATGGGAGGGGAGGACTGGAGTTGGGAAGGAGCATCCATTGTGGCCATTCCCTACCTGGCCCACACTGGGCTCATCTGGAAACACAGCTGAGCTCAGGTATGGGGATGGGGATGGGGATGGGGATGGGATGGAGGATCCTGGAGGAGATGGGAGGGAAGGAAATGGAGGATCTTGGTGATGATGGGAGGGATGGAATGGGGGATCCTAGAGGAGATGGACTGGGAGGGTGGGAAGGAGATGGAGGATTCTGGAGGAGATGGGGTGGGATGGAATGGAGGATTTTGAAGGAGATGGGATGGAAGAAATGGAGGATCCTGGAGAAGATGGACTGGGAGGGTGGGAAGGAATGGAGAATCCTGGAAGAAATGGGGATGGAGGGAAATGGGGGATCCTGGAGGAGATGGGATGGAAGGAATGGAGGATCCTGGACAAGCTGGGATGGAAGGAATGGAGGATCCTGGAGGAGTTGGACTGGGATGGTGGGAAGGAGATGGAGGATCCTGCAGGAGATGGGAGGGATGGAAGGGAGGATCCCCAGGGGCAGATGGGAGGGATGGAATGGAAGATGTCCCAGGTCTCTGGGTGTCACCTGCATCCCCTGGGCTCCCTGGGGACACAGGTGCCTCACGGAGCATCCCTCTCCTTGCAGCGCTTCCAAGTAAGAAGACCCAAAGCACGAGCGCCCTCGAGGCCACCCGCTGCCAGCCCCCCGTGTCCCCAGTGTCCCCTGGTCCCTCTGCCAGCCCCAGCATGTCCTGCCTGGGTTCTGTCCCCCCTCAGGGGTCACCACAGCCACCTGCAGCCTGTGGCACCTCGCTGTCCCCGCTGCTGACAGGGCCAGCGGGGCCTCGTGGCTGTGGGAATTTTGGGAAAAAGGGGAATCGATCCCTGCCTGGCTGGGATTTTTGGGAAATGGGGAATCGATCCCTGCCTGGCTGGGATTTTTGGGAAATGGGGAATCGATCCCTGCCTGGCTGGGATTTTTGGGAAATGGGGAATCGATCCCTGCCTGGCTGGGATTTTTGGGGAAAGAGGAATTGCTTCTTGCTGGGATGAGATTTTTGGGAAAAGGGAATCTCTCTGGGCTGGGATTTTGGGGAAAAAGGGAATCGATTCCTCAGGGCTGGGGTTTTTGGAAAAAGGGGAATTGCTCCTGTAGGGCTGGTATTTTGGGGAAAAGGGGAATCAATTCCTGCCTGGGTGGGATTTTTGGGAAAAGGGGAATCACACCCTCAGGGCCAGGATTTTTGGGAGAAGGGGAATCGCTCCCTCAGGGCCGGGGTTTTTGGGAAAAGGGGAATCCCTCCCGCTGTGTTTGGCACAGGAATGCTCCCCTGAAGGCCGGCGGGGAAATCATCCTGGGCGGCAGCGACCCAGCCCATTACAGCGGTGACTTCCACTACCTGAACGTCAGCAGGAGCGGCTTCTGGCAGATCCGCATGAAGGGGTGAGCGGGGAACCCCAAATCCCGGCGTGATTATGTGGGAAAAGCCTTTGGGGTCATCGAATCCAGTATTAGCCCAGCACTGGCAGGGCCGGGGCTGCACCCCACGGCTCTGTGAGGGTGGGATTTCCGGGATTTCAGGAGTTTCGGGGATTTCAGGGGTCTTTTCCCCGTGTGGAGAGGAGAGGGGTGGGCTCCTCCAGCTCCTGCAGGCTCAGCAAGGAGCCGGGAGCAGCTGGGAATGCAGAGGGGGTGGCACCGTGGGCTGGGATTCCACTCGGGAGCTGCAGTTGGAAGAGTTTAACCCCCGTCAGTCCTGCGGGAGGAGCTGAAACAATCCCACCCTGAGTCCTCGGGTGGTTTGGGGGGGGTTTGGGGTCAGCAGGGATGAGTTTTGATGGGATTTGGATATCAGGAAAGGTGTTTCACCCTGGGACAGCGGGAAGCGCTCACCAGGAGTTCACGGTGGGCAAATCCACATTCCCTGTGCTCAGCACGAGTGGAGCTGCAGATCACCACTGTTTGTGTCTGTCCACACCCTGAGGAGCTGCTTATTCACCCAGGACAGAGCCCAGCCCAAATCAAACCTAAATCTGGGAATTGGGGACAGCAGGGACCCAGCAGCAGGAGGCTGAGGCTGCTGCTGCTCCCGGCTCCAGCTCTCTGCCATTCCCACGGGAAGGAATTCCCGTGCCAAGGGCCACCCCCTCCGTGTGAGCCCTGCTGTGGCTCGGCCCTGCCCCGGAGCTGCTGCCCGGCCTTGGCACGGGATCGTCCCACCCTGGTCAGACCTTCAGGGCTCCTCGGGCTGCTTCTGCCGCTGCTGCTCCTGCTCGGGGCTCTGCCCCACGGCGGGATCCTCTCCCAGCGCCTCTGCGGGCTCTGCCGGACCCAAAGGGCCGCAGCGAGCTCAGCCCCGGGCACAGGGTGCGGATTTTGGGGCTGGCTGCGCCGGGGATCCTGGTTCAGGATATTCCATGACCCCCGAGGAAGGAACAACGTGGCCAAGCGGGGGTGCGCAGCTGGGGACACCAGGACCCTCCCGCTGTCCCCTCCATCACCCCGCGGGTCTCCTTGTGGCAGCAATCGCAGTACGGCGAGGACGTGTGCGTGGTGGCTTTCTCCGGGCTGGACATCCCCCCTCCGGCCGGTCCCCTCTGGATCCTGGGCGCCACCTTCATCGGTCACTACTACACCAAGTTCGACCGGCGCCACAACCGCATCGGCTTCGCCACGGCCCGCTGAGCCCCGGGGGCCGGGGGGGCTGCGGGGAACCGGCCCGGGGGGTGCAGCAGCTCCGGCAAGCAGCGAGAGAACAGCAGCGAGAGAACAGCAGCGAGAGAACAGCAGCGAGAGAACAGCAGCTGCCCCGCAGCTCTGCCGCCCCCTCCTCCCCAAAGCCCCCCGCACCCCCGCGCTGCTCCCGGGAGCCGAGCCCGGAGCGATCCCAGCGGGATCCCGCGGCCGGAGCGGCCCCTCCGGGCTCTTTTTGGGCCATGTGCGATGGAGGGCAGGAGCAGCGCACCGGGATTTGCTGCGGGTGCGGCTGAGGGGCGCTCTGGGACTGTTCGTGTTGCTCCTAAATTCGGGGCAATAATCGGTGTTTGAGGATGGTTTGAGCCGGTGTCAGCCCTGCTTTTCTTTGTGAGTTTGATATTAAACAATTTAAAGCACCAGGAGGATGAGTGGCGGGTTGGTCTTGCCGATGGAGAGGGTCAGACACCTTTATTTAGGGAACTGGGCCACAAATGTCCCTGGGCCAGGAGCCACCTCCTCATTTGTGCCACTTCCACCCCCTAAGGGTGCAACGCCCTCGCCAGCCCCGGCGGGCAAATCAAGGGCTCTGCAAAGCTGTTCCTGCAGCTGGGATGGTGCCAGGAGCTCTGCGTGTCCCCCTGGGGACAGGGCCACCCTGGGTGTCCCCTTGGGGACAGGGACACGGCTGTGCCTCAGCTCTGCCCTGGCACCCCGGGAGGGGACGGTGCCAGTGGATCTGTGTCACACAGGACGGTGGCTCCTGTCCCAGGGTCTGTTTCCAGGAAAAAGCAGAGGTTTTCCTCTGCCCTGGCTGTGGGGATGCCCCTGGAGGTGCCCCCTGTGCCAGCTGGCCTGGAGGGAGGGGCAGGGCAGTGCTCCCAGCTCGGGGGGCATTCCCAGTTCCAGCCGTGGATCCCCAGCCAGGGGAACGCGGGCTGGCCTCCAGTCTGACCAGTTCAGGGGAGTGGGGAAGCTGCTCCTGGGGCAGGGCCTGGAGCGAGTCAGGATCTCACCACGGAGGAGCAGCCGCTGGCAGGAGCAACTCACCCTCAGAGCTGCAGAGCTGAGCAATTCCCAGCGCTCAGGAGGCCCAGAGATGACAATTCCAGCACTGACAAATTCCCAGAGCTGACAATTCCAGCACTGAGGAACCCCAGATGTGACAATTCCAGCACTGGTGAACCCCAGATGTGACAATTCCAATGCTGAGGAACCCAGATGTGACAACTCCAGCACTGGTGAACCCCAGATGTGACAATTCCAGCACTGAGGAACCCCAGATGTGACAATTCCAGCTCCAAGGAACCCCAGAGGTGACAATTCCAGCTCCAAGGAACCCCAGAGGTGACAATTCCAGCACTGACAAATTCCCAGAGCTGCCAAATCCCCCCTCAGCTGCAGGGATATTTGGGAAGGGGAGCCAGTGGCTGCTGTGTGACCCTTCCAGCACCACCCCCGAAGCTCCCAGCCCTTCATCCACCCCTCCCCGCCCGGATCCTCATCCCTGCCCGGCTCCCAGCCCTTCATCCACCCCTCCCGCCCGCATCCCCATCCCCGCCCTGCCCCGGCAGCCCCAGAGCAGAGGATGTGCCCGGGGCGGATGTTTGTCCCTCCCGGGAGCCTCTCTGCAGCCTCTCCGTGCTGGGATGCTGCAGGGGCTCCGGGGATGGGACAATTCCGGCTCCTCTGGGTGGGATGTCCAGATTTGTGGGGTTTTTTTTCTGTCACCTCCAGCGCCGGGGTGGTGGCAGCGGCTCTGCGGGGCCGGGGGGTGGAGGGAAGGGATGAATTTCTGCTCTCATCCAGCGTTTCCTGAGCTGCTCACAGGAAAGCCCGGGAGCTGGGAAGCAGCGGCAGGGAGGATGGGACCACCAGAAAAGAGGGAATCTGCCGAGGTCACGGCACCCACAACACTCCAAATGTCCAGAGATGCTTGGCGAGAGTCTCCCCTTCCTACAGGAGGGAAATCCCACCTGGAAATACCCCAACCTCCTCTGCCCTGTTCTCCGCAGCCTGGAGAAGACTCGAGCGGGTGCAGAAGGTGCCTCCAGCCCCCGCCGTGACTGCTGTCACATCCCCGAGCTGGAAAAGGCCCGGCCTGGCCCGAACCGGGATGGTTTTGCTGGAGCCGCTTCTGTTCCAGCTCCGAGAGCAGCGGGAGTTCAAACCCGCCCGAGCCGCGGCCGGGCCCCTTAAACCCGGCTATTAACACCTCTAATCGCCGCTCCGGGGGCAATTTCCCGCTGGAAGCTCGGCCCTGCCCGGGGGCTCCGCCAGCCCGGATCGGATCGTTCCGGCCGAGCAATTAGGCCGCGCTCAGCCCAGCCAGGCGCAGCAGCAATTATGCCCGTCCCATTAACACCGACACGGCTGCCGCTATTTTTGGCAGCACGGGAAACTGCCCTGCGGGGTTTTTGTCCCCCCCGCTCTTTTTCCTTAAATTATTTTCCCCGCGGTGTCCAGGGTGCGCTGGGCTGGTTCCGGGCACGGCAGGCTGGCGTTTTTGGAGGGGGCACTCTGCGCCCATGTGGCGCTGTTATTTCCTCCGATAATGAAGCGGCGTCCGGGGGCTGCGGGGGCTCTGCCAGCGGGAAAATCCCGCTCTGCCTTCACCCCCAAATCCGCTTCCCAGCCCGGCTGGGAATGGCTGCGGAGGGTGCAGGGGGAGAGGTTATCCCGAGCGGAGCCGTGGGGGCTGCAGCGCGTCCCGTGCGCGGCTCCTCATCCTCTGTGACCCCAAAGGAGGGAGCGGGGCTGCGCGGAGCCCCCCGGGACGGCGGAGGGGTTCAGCTGATGGGTGGGTGGGCACTGGGGCAGGGTGGGGCGGGGCGGTGCCGGTCCCGATGCTCTGGGGTAGATTTGGGGTTCCAAGAATGGATGGGGAAGGCACCGGCAGCAGGTGCGGAGGGGAGATCTCGGTGCGGGGCGGCTGCCGGGGGAGCTGAGGGGCTCCGGGAATGGCGGGGGAGGCACGGCCAGCAGCCGCGGCAGAGCGGGGTCCCGGTGCCGGTGCCGGTGCCGGTGCCGGTGCCGGCCGGGCGGGGCTCCGCTGCCCAGGGCGCCGCGGATGGGATGCCCCATCCCGGTGCGGATCCCTTCCCGGGATGCGGTCCCGGTCGGGTGCTGGGGTCCCGGTGCGGGTGGGATGCCGGTCCGCTGGTGCCGGTGCTGGTCGGGGGCGGGTGCGGCGCCCGGGTCTCGGTGTGCGGGGGGTGCGGGTCCCGCCCTGCCAGGGATGCCGGTGCCGGTAGAATGCGGGTCCCCGCCCGCGGTCCCGGTGCCGGTAGGATGCGGATCCCCGGTGCCGGTAGGATGCGGATCCCCTGCCCCCGGTGCCTGTCCCGGTAGGATGTGGGTCCCCTGCCCCCGGTGCCGGTAGGATGCGGGTCCCTTTCCCCGGTGCCGGTACCGGTAGGATGTGGATCCCCGGTGCCGGTAGGATGCGGGTCCCCTGCCCCCGGTGCCGGTGCGGGCGCTGCCGCCGCTGCCGGGGAGGCGGGCGGGAGGCGGGCCGGTGACTCATGGCTTCCCAACGGCGGCGGCTCCTCCCCGCGGCCGCCGGCCCCGCGCAGCCCCCGGCACATGGGCCGCGGCTCCGGCAGCGCGGAGCTGGCCATGGCCGCACCGCCCGCCCGCTGCCCCGACTGCCCGGGGCCGGAGCGGGGGGGCGGCGGCGGGACCCCCGCCGTGCCGCACCTCGGCATTGCGGTGGACGAGGGGGACGTGCTGCCCGGGGCGCTGCGGATCGTGCGGCGGCTGAGACCCGCCTGGGATCCGGCCGCGGTGAAGACCAAGGTACGGGGGAGAGCCTGAGCCGGCACCCCGCGACCCCCGGGGGTCGCCCGCCGGGGCTGCGGAGCCCGCCTGGGGGGCGGCTGAGGGGTTCTGGGGGCTGTCTGGGGTGCTCACCCCGGCGGGGTGCGGGGGCAGCTCAAGGGGGGTTTTGGGGCTCAGCCTGGGAGCTGCGGGGTCTGTCCTGGGGGGGTTTTGGGGCTCAGCCTGGGAGCTGCGGGGTCTGTCCTGGGGGGGCTGAGGGGCTCAGCCGGGGGGCTATAGGGGGGCTGTAGGGTTTAACCCGGGGGCTGCCGGATCCGTCCGAGGGGGAATGTGGGGCTCACCCAAGGGGTTCACTCTGGGGGGGTTGTGGGGTTCATCATGGGGGGCTGTAGGACCTGCCCCAGAGGATGTGACACCCCGTACCCCACCCCTGGGTCTCCTCTCCGTACGCCCAGAGCATGACCGAGGGGTTCATCAGCTGTGCAAGGGTGTGACACCCCCATCGCACACCCGCCCCACGAGGTTTAGGGACCCCTGGGGTGGTCACCGAGCCCTGGCCGTGGGTACAAAAGTGTCCCCAGGCTGGCAGCCGAGGCGTGCCCGCAGGAGCGGCCGCTCCCGGGAGCCGCTCTTGTTTGGGATATTTGTCGGCTCCTGCATTCCCCAGGCTGCGTGGGCTGAGCCCCGGCTCAGGTGGGAGCTGGACACCAGTCCCGGGCTCCTGGCACGGGACAGGGCTGGGCTGTGCGGGGCTGGGAGAGCTGGGCTGCCGTGGGAATCGCTCTGGCCGGGGCTGGGGTGGCACAGGCTGGTGGCACCGCTGCCCTCGGCTGTGCCCTGGCTCTGGGCACCGGAGCGTGGAGGGGCTGGCACTGCGTGCCCTTAAATGTCTGCACGTGAGCGAGTGTCCCTTCCGAAGGCGCACGCTTCCCGTCATTAGAAATGTATTAATAGCCAAGTGTAATTAAATACAAGAAGCTGCAGGAAAAGCCATCTGAAAGGGCAGATGGCAGCGGGCAGGAAGCTGGGAGTTGGAGTTTGCCGGGGCAGGAAATGTCTCGCTCTGCTCGCTGAGCTCGGTGGTTGTGGAGGGACCCCGGCTCTGCGGTATCCAGGCTCCGCAGGGGTCAGTGCTCCACAGCAGCTCGGGTGTGCGGGCGTGTGTTTTTAATTTAAAAAAAGAAAGAAGAAAAAAAGAAAGAAAAAAAAAACCAACAAAACCACGCAGGAGTTGAGGGAAAACTCTCCCATTGCGTTTCCCTCGGTTGCTTTCCCTCCTCCCGCGTTTCCCCTCGCAGGAGCTGCTCGGGGTGGAACAGAGCGGGCCGGGGGCCTCAGCTGGTTCCCATTAGCGATCCCATTCCTGCCCGGTGCCCTGGAGCGCTGCCCCGCTCCCAGCACCTCTGTACCAGGGGCTGTACCAGGCTGTGCTGGTGGCTCGGGAAAATCTCCCGGAGCTCAGGAACACGGCAAGAAGGGTCTGGGAGCTTGGGCTGCCCTGCCGTGCACTCCTGGCTGTGCCCGCTTCCCAGAGCTCCTGCTCCTCATCCCCCAGGGATGTCCATGATGCTGAGTCAGCTCCCCACGCGCCCAGGGAAGCACAAACTCCTCCATCCATGGATTCCATCCATCCATCCATCCATCCATCCATCCATCCATCCATCATCCATCCATCCATCCATCCATCCATCCTTCATCCATCATCCATCCATCCATCCATCCATCCATCCATCATCCATCCATCATCCATCATCCATCCATCCATCCATCGATCCATCCATCCATCCATCATCCATCATCCATCATCCATCCATCATCCATCATCCATCACGGAGCCGAAGCCGTGCGAGGTTGCCGTGCAGGGTTGGATGTTTTTAGCCCAGATTTGGTAACAAGTTGCCCTGCTGGTGGTTGCTCCAGGCTGGGGGTGCCAGCATGGCAGTGTTTTGGGAATGCTGAGGGATTCTCCCGGCAGGTGAGGCACCAGCAGTTGGATTTTGCTGCCTCACCCCAGTGCTTTGGCACGGGCCTCGCTTTGCGTTTAATCCCTGCAAAGTTCACGGAGTGTCACTCCTCCCCTCTGTCCCTGCAGGAGGGAAGGACCTGGGGTGGCAGCAGGGTGGCAGCAGCCTGGATCCACAGGGAACAGCACCGGGCATCCCCCGGCAGCCACCGCCACCCTCGGGAGCCACCCCCAAACCCAGCGAGTCCCTGCGGGTCACGTGTGCCTCTCCAGAGCTGGTGGCCTGGAATTCAGGGGGGATCAGGCTCAGTAATCCCCTTAAACCTGCTGGGAAGGGCTGTGGGGCTGTGGGGCAGCAAAACAAAGCAGCACCCAGGGTTTCACTCCATGAGGAGCCGCTCACCTGCGGCCGACCCACGCGTGGCTCATGGTGACACCTGCAAGGACGGGATGTGTCACCTCTGCTGGCTGCATTTCCAACCTCTGTGGCCTGGTAGGACAAGAGGAGGAAAGAGCTGAGCCCTGTGGTGAAACCAGATTATCAGCTCGGGGAAAAGCAGCTTGAGAAGGCTCGGCTGCAGCTGAGGGGCTGCACCCCTGAGGATGGGGCAGCGGCCTCGCCCCGCTCGCCCCAAATCCAGCTGTGGAATGGGGGACTCAGCCCTGTCTGGCTTGGAGGGTCTCGTTCCAGTGCCTGGAGTCTCCCCCGGGAGGCTGCTCGGGGAGCCCTATATATAGGAACCCTATAGGGGAGCGTGGGTTGCTGAGTGGGATGTCTAAAATTATCCATCCCATCCCTGAGCGCCACGGCTGCCGGAGCAGAGCCCTCTCCCCCCTCCTGCTCCGGCTCCCCGATCCCACAGGGGTGAGGGAATCGTTCCCGGGGGGCCACAGCACCCAGAGTGCCCAGGTTGGAGCTGGCATGCTGGGGGACAGTGGGACAGGGCTTTCCCGTGGGGTGACATGTCCCTAAACCCCTTCAGTGTCCTGGAAGTGCCCAAAATCCCAGTGGGATGAGGGAATCATTCCCAGGGGGAGCTGCAGTATCCCGGGGCTGGCACGGGGACAATAGGACAGGGGTTTTTTGTGGGGTGACAGAGCCCCAAACCCCCTCAGTGCCCTGGAAATGCCCAAATCCTGGCGGGATTAAGGAATCATTCCCATGGGAAGCCGTAGCACCACGGAGTGCCCATCTTGGAGATGGCACGGGGGACAATGGGGGTGATTTCCTCTGGGGTGACAAGTCCCTAAATCCCCTCAGTGCCCTGAAAGTGACCCAAATCCCGGCGGGATGAAGGAATCCTGCCCAGGGGGAGCCGCAGCATCCCAAAACTGGCACGGGAACAACAAGACAGGGGTTTTTTGTGGGGTGACAGAACCCCAAACCCCCTCAATGCCCTGGAAGTGCCCAAAATCCCAATGGGATGAGGGAATCATTCCCAGGGGGAGCCGCAGCACCCCAAAACTGGCACGGGGACAACAGGACAGGGGTTTCTTGTGGGGTGACACGTCCCCAAACCCCCTCGGGAGCCCCGGAGGTGCCTAAATCCCGGCGGGATGGGGCACGGAGCCCGGCTCGGGCGGCAGCAGCCGCGGCATGTGCGCGGGCAGGCGGCCAAGGCGGAGCGCCGGGAGAACAAAACTCCCTTTCCATCTGCGAGGAGCCGTCAGAGCGGTGACACGAGATGTCCCCAGCAGCGACGTCCCCGCCTATCAGCGCCCCGGCCCGCGGGGAGGGTCGGAGGAGGGGATGGGCGGTGGTGTTTGCTCCGGCCTTGTTTTCAGCCTCGTTGGGTGGTTTATTTATTTATTACTTTTTTTAATTTCGTGCCAATTTACACTGATTTTTTTTTTTTTTTTTGCTCCCCTGGGGAGACATTCCCGGGGCTGCTCCCGTGCCAAGCGTGCTGGTGGCACATCTGGCCTGAGCTGTTCCTGAGCTATCCCTGAGCTGTTACAGTGAAATTAGCAGGATTTCCACCCAAAACACTCCCTCTACCTGCAGAGGTGTTCCTGAGCTCTTCCAGGTGAAAAATAACAGGATTTCAACCCAAAGGACCACCTCTGCTTTCAGAGATGTTCCTGAGATATCCCTGAGCTGTTCCAGGTGAAATTAGCAGGATTTTCTCCTAAACAATCCCTTCTGCCTGCAGAGGTGTTCTTGAGCTGTTCCAGATGAAAAATAACAGGATTTTCACCCAAACCACCCCTTCTACATGCAGAGGTGTGTTCCTAAGCTGTTCCAGGTGAAAAATAACAGGATTTCCACCCAAACCACCCCTTCTGCCTGCAGAGATATCCCTGAGCTGTTCCAGGTGAAAAATAACAGGATTTTCACCCAAACCACCTCTTCCACCTGCAGAGGTGTTCCTGAGATATCCCTGAGCTGTTCCAGGTGAAATTAGCAGGGTTTCCACCCAAACCACCTCTTCTGCCTGCAGAGCCCTGAACCTCACTCCTCCCAAACTCATCTCACTCCCCCAGGATCTTTCCTGGCTGCGCTGCCTCGCTCCTTTTCCCCATTTTTTGCCATTTCCACGGGTTTTTCCCGCCGGCAGGAAGCAGACACGGGGTCCCCCCATTCCCAGCCTCACCCGGGTGTCACCCTGGCCGTGTCTGTCCCCACCCAGCTCTTCACTGACGGCATCACCAACAAGCTGGTGGCCTGCTACACGGACGAGGGCATGGCGGACGCGCTGCTGGTGCGGGTGTACGGCAGGAAAACCGAGCTGCTGGTGGACAGGGAGACGGAGCTGAGGAACTTCCAGGTGCTCCGAGCCCACGGCTGCGCCCCCGAGCTCTACTGCGCCTTCCAGAACGGGCTCTGCTACCAGTTCCTGCCGGGAATCGCGCTGGGACCCGACCACGTGAGGGATCCACACATCTTCAGGTGCGTGGGATGTTCTAGGGGGATCTGGGGGTTCCTCTCCAATTTTTCCATCAGTTTTCTGGGGGTTTGTTCTGTTTGTTCTGTGTTTCCAGCTCTCCCCTGACCGCCGTGGGTGGGGGTCACTGGTGTGCCCAGTCCTGGGGTAAATGGGGGTTGGGGGGTAAATGGGTCAGGCTGCAGCCAGAGATGTCAAAATTACTAAATTTCTAATTTTTATCAGGTTTTGGTGAAGAGAGGTTTCCTGGGAAGCTGGAATTAAAGTTTCCTGAGAAGCTGGAATTAAAGTTTCCTGGGAAGCTAGAATTAAAGTTTCCTGGGATGCTGGAATCTAGGTTTCCTGGGATGTTGGAATTAAAGTTTCCTGGGATGTTGGAATTAAGGTTTCCTGGGATGTTGGAATTAAGGTTTTCTGGGAAGCTGGAATTTAGGTTTCCTGGGAAGCTAGAATCGAGGTTTCCTGGGATGCTGGAATTAAGGTTTCCTGGGAAGCTAGAATCGAGGTTTCCTGGGATGTTGGAATTAAGGTTTCCTGGGATGTTGGAATTAAGGTTTTCTGGGAAGCTGGAATCGAGGTTTCCTGGGATGCTGGAATTAAGGTTTCCTGGGAAGTTAGAATCAAGGTTTCCTGGGAAGCTGGAATTAAAAGTTTCCCGGGAAGTTGGAATTAAGGTTTCCTGGGAAGTTGGAATTAAGGTTTCCTGGGAAGCTGGAATTCCTCTGGGAAGCAGAGTTTAGGGCTGAATTTACCCCAAAAATGGCAATTCTGAAACGCTTCAGAGGCCGATCCCTGACGTGGCACGAGGGCTCAGCTGTGCTCACCCTGTGTTTTAAGCAGGATTTTCAGGGAATCGCCCTGAAGACACCCCCAAAGCTCTTCAGGGGATGTTGCAGGGGGGATTTTGCGGGTTTGGGATCCCCCCTCACCCCTCTGCTGTGCTCCACGCCAGGCTGGTGGCCCGGGAGATGGCCCGAGTCCACGCCATCCACGCCAACGGGAGCCTCCCCAGGCCCATCCTGTGGCAGAAGCTGCACAAATACCTCAGCCTGGTGAAGACAGAGCTCAGCCCAAAGGTATCCAACGCCAGGTAAAGGCAGAGGGATCCCACAGAGCCAGCCTCTGCCTCGGGCACCCCCTGCCCACCCCCTCTGAGGTTCCCAGGTAAAGCCTCTGCGGGGATCTGGGGCTGGATTTGGGGCTGGATCCCTCTCAGAACCCCTGGAGCAGCTGCAGCCCCTTCCTGCTGCCAGTTTGGGAGGAATTTCAGCTTTTTTGGAGCTCTGGGATGTGTCTGTGCAGGATGCAGCTGAAGGCACAGCCTCCCACTGCTGGAACAATCCTCCTCCTTCTCCCGGAAATTTAGAATAAACCCGAGCTCCAACCCTGCTGAGCTGACGATTAACTCTAAAAATTAAACCACTCAATTCCCACTTCCAGCCAGCCCATCCCGCTTTTTGGGGCGGCTGGTTTGGCCCGGCAGGTGAGAGTTGGGGTGTCTGGGAAGGATTGGGGCAGCCCCAAGAGGAGCAGGAGGTGAACGAACCCCGGGCAGGGCAATCATTAACCCGCGGCAGGAGCCAGCCGCGCTTTTCTCAGCGCCCGCCGGGCCACGGGCAGACTTTACCCACCCTGCGCCTTCAGCACAGCCAATTAGGCAATCATTAACGAGCTTTTTTCTTGGAAGCCGCGCTCCTGAGGTTACCGCCGGGCTGCCAGAGTCCAAAACATCCCCGCGCCCCGGGGGCTCCGCCGGCTGCTCGGGGAGCGAGCGCTGCGTGGATTTGGGGGGTGGGCGTGCGGGGTTTTGGGGACACGGGACGCGCTGAGGATGAGGGGTGGGGGCTGCCTGGGTGCCCCCGCCCCAAAAGCAGCCTCGTTAGCCCCGCTTTGTGTCGTTAATGGGGTCGTTTGTAAGGCCGGAGAGGGAAACTGGGGAAATTCTGCTCCTGTGGCCCCAGGGAAGCGTTCAAGTCAGGGAAGCGAAATTCCGCTCCTGAGCCCCGAGGGAAGTGCTGGAAACTGAGGAAATTCTGCTCCTGTGACCCCCAAAAAACTGCTGGAAGTCAGGGAAGAGCAATTCTGCTCCCGTGGCCTCATAAAAGCACTGGAAGTTGGTGAAATTCTGGAATCTGGGGAAATTCTGCCTCTGAGCCCCCAGGGAAGCACTGAAAGCCAGGAAAGCACAATTCTGCTCTTGTGGCCCCAAGGAAGTGCTGGGAACTGGGGGAATTCTGGAATTTGGGATAATTCTGCCCCTGAGCTCCCAGGGAAGTGATGGAAATCAGGGAAGAGAAATTCTGCTCCTGAGCCCCAATGGAAGTGCTGGAAACTGGGGAAATTCTGCTCCTGTGGCCCCAGGGAAGAGCTGGAAGCTGGGGAAAGCACTGGAAGTTAGGGAAATTCTGCCTCTGAGGCTCCAGGAAAATGCTGGAAGTCAGGGAAGGGCAATTCTGCTGCTGTGGCCCCAGGGAAGCACTGGAAACTGGGGAAATTCTGGAATTCGGGGAAATTCTGCCCCTGAGCCCCAAGGGAAACACTAGAGCTGGGGAAATTCTGCTCCTGTGGCCCCAGGGAAGCACTGGAAGCTGGGAAAAATCTGGAATTCAGGGAAATTCTGCCCCTGAGCCCCAAGGGAAACACTAGAAACCAGGGCAATTCTGCTCCTGTGGCCCCAGGGAAGTACTGGAAGCTGGGGAAATTCTGCAATTTAGGGAAATTCTGGAATACAGAGAAATTCTGCCCCTGAGCCCCCAGGGAAACACCAGAAGCTGGGGAAATTCTGCTCCTGTGGCCCCGGGGAAAGCTCTGGAAATCAGGGAAGAGCAATTCTCCCCCTGAGCCCCCAGGGAATCTCTGGAAATCAGGGAAGAGCAATTCTGCCCCTGAGCCCCCAGGGAAGCTCTGGAAGCCCTGGAAATGCCACCCCTGAGCACCCAGGGAAGTTTTAGAAGTCAGGGAAGAGCAAATCTGCCCCTGAGCCCCCAGGGAAGCACTGGGAGCCCTGGAAATGCCACCCCTGAGCGCCCAGGGAAGTTTTGGAAGTCAGGGAAGAGCAATTCTCCCCCTGAGCCCCCAGGGAAGCTCTGGAAGTCCTGGAAATGCCACCCCTGAGCGCCCAGGGAAGTTTTGGAAGTCAGGGGAGAGCAATTCTGCCCCTGAGCGCCCAGGGAAGTTTTGGAAGTCAGGGAAGAGCAATTCTGCCCCTGAGCCCCCAGGGAAGCACTGGGAGCCCTGGAAATGCCACCCCCGAGCCCCAGGGCGGCTCCCCGAGAGCAGCAGCGATGCCACCCTGTCCCTTTTGTCCCCTGGCAGCCTCCCGCGGGACGTGCCCAGCCCCGAGGCGCTGGAGCAGGAGCTGGCCTGGATGGAGGAGACGCTGTCGCAGCTGGGGTCCCCCGTGGTGCTGTGCCACAACGACCTCCTGTGCAAGAACATCATCTACGACAGGACACGAGGTCGGTGAGCCCGGGCTGTCCCTCAGGGGGGTCACTGTCAGCGCCCAGGGACACAGAATCGAGGAATTATAATTGTCATTATCGAGGAATTATAATTATCAATAATCAAGGAATTATAATTGTCAATAAGTAAGGAATTCTAATATGCAGGTGCTTTTATTGAAGAGGTCAGGGGTACAGACCCAAATGTGACTCCACCATGGGTTTGGGATGGACACATTTTTATACCCTTATAGTTATATAATTACATATTAATTATTAAACTTACGTTGTTCTATTGTATACATTGATTTAATCCAAGCATAGATTCTCTAATTTCCATCAAAACCCCCAAACATCATTTCTCATTACTCTTGCTACGATTAAACAATAATTATATCCAATTACCAATCATGGCATTTAACAATCATATCATTTATAACAATCATTTAATTTCTCATCGTTATTATTTATCATAAACATCATCATAAATATCATGTCATATTTATCATTATTTACTATCATAGTCATTATCACTTAATTTACTATTCATTGAATGATTACACAGGTGCAGCCTAACATTTTCTCGGGGCCTACTGTAACATTTTCCCAGGGCCTACCCTGACGTTTTGCCAAGGCCTACCAGGCCCAACCTTTCTTTCCAACTCCCCTGACTATCCCACGATTTCAGAAACATTTTATCCCTGTGCTGTCATCCCCTCTGCCCCCACCCCTGACAGTTTTTGTCCCCAGCCCTGACAGTTTTTGTCCCGCAGAGCGCGTGCGCTTCATCGACTACGAGTACACGGGCTACAACTACCAGGCCTTCGACATCGGCAACCACTTCAACGAGTTCGCAGGTGGGGAGCAGCCGGGGACCCCAAAAGGCCCCCAGCCCCGGCCTGGGGTGTTCCTGTCACTGGGGTGGAGGAGGGAGTTACCCCCAGTCCCATACTGGGAAATGGGGTGTCCCTCATACCGGGAATTCCCAGTGCCATACTGGGAAATGGGGTGTTCCTGTTACTGGGATGGAGGAGGGAGTTACCCCCAGTCCCATACTGGGAAATGGGGTGTCCCTGTTACTGGGAATTCCCAGTGCCATACTGGGAAATGGGGTGTCCCTGTCACTGGGAATTCCCAGTCCCATACTGGGAAATGGGGTGTTCCTGTTACTGGGAATTCCCAGTGCCATACTGGGAAATGGGGTGTTCCTATTACTGGGATGGAGGAGGGAGTTATCCCCAATCTCATACTGGGAAATGGGGTGTCCTTGTTACTGGGATGGAGGAGGGAGTTTTATTCCCAGTCTCATACTGGGAAATGGGGTGTCCCTATTACTGGGAATTCCCGGTCCCATACTGGGAAATGAGGTCTTCCTATTACTGGGAGGGAGTTTTATTCCCAGTCCCCTACTGGGAAATGGGGTGTCCCCATCTCTTGGGGTGCAGAAGGGAATTTTGTCTCTGGTGCTGGGGTGGGAAATGGGATTTCCCCATCCCTGGAATGGAGGAGGGAGTTGCATTCCCAGTCCCAGGGTGGAAAATGGGGCTGTCCTGGGGTCTCCTGATCCCTGGGATGGAGGAGGGAGTTGAACCCCAAATCCCATGATGGGAAATGGGGTCTCCTGATCCCTGGGATGGAGGAGGGAGTTGAACCCCAAATCCCATGATGGGAAATGGGGTCTCCCCATCCCTGGGATGGAGGAGGGAGTTGAACCCCAAATCCCATGATGGGAAATGGGGCCTCCCCATCCCTGGGATGGAGGAGGGAGCCGCACCCCAAACCCTATGATGGGAAATGGGGTCTCCTGATCCCTGGGATGGAGGAGGGAGTTGAACCCCAAATCCCATGATGGGAAATGGGGTCTCCCCATCCCTGGGATGGAGGAGGGAGTTGAACCCCAAATCCCATGATGGGAAATGGGGTCTCCCCATCCCTGGGATGGAGGAGGGAGCCGCACCCCAAACCCTACAGCAGGAAATGGGGCTGCCCATGCTCACAGCGGGGTCTCTGCTGCTCTTGGGCACCCCAATGCCCCTGGGGTGCCAGCAGCTGATCCTGGCTTTGTGCCTGGCTGGGGTTGTGCTCTCCTCGCTTTACCGTGGAGACCCCAATCCCTCCCTGTCCCCGCCGTGTCCCCGTGTCCCCCCAGGTGTGAAGGAGGTGGATTATGGCCTCTACCCCAGCAAGGAGACGCAGCTGCAGTGGCTGCACTCCTACCTGCAGGCCTACAAGGAGCTCGCCCAGGGCCAGCCAGGTGACAGCCAGGTGTCCCAGGAGGAGCTGGAGACCCTCTACGTGCAAGTGAACAAGTTCTCCTTGGTGAGTGAGGAGGAGGAAGGAGCCGAAAGCAGCCCAGGCATGAGGAGTTCTCTGCTCTTGGCCTTGCAGCTGAGCTGGCCAGCGCCAGGTGCCAGCCTGGGGGCTTGGGGACATCGGGGACAGGCTGTGCCTGGCCCTGGCACTGCCTCAGGGACGCCGAGCCCCGGGCAAGGTCACAGGGGTGTGTTGGGGACAGTGTGTTGGGGACAGCTGTGCCCGACAGGGCGGCCTTGGGCAGCCCTTCAGAGGGGTCAGGCACGGCTGCAGTGAGGAAATCCTCTTTGCTGTCTGCCCCGAGCGGCCCCAGCCGATTTTCTGGAATTTTTGGGTGAAATATTCTTTGTTTTCCTGGCTGCAGCCGCCGGGAGGGCAGCACAGGGGTGGCACCCCATGTCCAGCACCCTCCCTGCTGCCAGCCCTGGCTCCAGCCTCGGGAGGGCACAGAAATCCCGCTGTGGCTCCGTGTCCTGTCCTTGTCCCGTGTCCTGTCCTTGTCACAGCCCAGGGGATTGGGGCACGGGGGTTTCTGTCCCCGTGGCCGTTCCCTGATCCTTGTTCTGCCCCTTGCAGGCGTCCCATTTCCTCTGGGCCTGCTGGGGCCTGATCCAGGACAAATATTCCACCATAGACTTTAATTTCTTACGGTGAGTCCACATCCACACGGGCTGCTCCAGGGAAATGGGAGGGGTGGGAGGAGCCCGGGGAGGATCCTGGGGAGGATCCCTGGGGAGGATCCCGGTAATCCCTGGAGAGGATCTGGGGAAGGATCCCGGTAATCCCTGGGGAGGATCCTGGGGAAGATCCCAAGGATCCTGGGGAGGATCCTGGTGGTCCCTAAGGAGGATGCTTGGGAGGATCTTAGGGAGGATCCTGGCAGTCCCTACAGAGGATCCTGGTGATCCCTGGGGAGGATCCCGGCTGTCCTTGGGGAGGATCCTGGGGAACATCCCAGGGAAGATCCCAGGGAAGATCCTGGCAGTCCCCAGGGAGGATCCCGGGGAGGATCCCAGCTGTCCTTGGGGAGGATCCTTGGGAGGATCCCAGGGAGGATCCAAGAGGTCTCTGGGGAGGATCTTAGGGAGGATCCGAGGGAAGATCCCAGGGAAGATCCTGGCAGTCCCCGAGGAGGATCCCAGCAGTTCTTGGGGAGGATCCCGGGGAGGATCCCGGCAGTCCCAGGGGAGGATCCCGGGGAGGATCTCGGCTGTCCCTGGGGAGGATCCCGGGGAGGATCCCGGCAGTCCCAGGGGACACGAGAGGCTCAGAGCCGTCCCTCCTCTCTCTCTCTTTACAGATATGCAAAGTTGAGGTTCAAACAGTACTTCAGGATGAAGCCGGTGGTCACAGCCCTGCAGGTCCCCAAGTAGGGGCCGCCCCGCGCTCTCCTGTCCTGGCCGTGCCCACCTTGCCCCTCGCCCAGCGGTGCCAAGGGGGACAGGAGGAGCCACCCCCGCTCCCAGGAGAGCCTGGCCACCCCCAAGAGTGGACCACGAGATGCTGGAGAGGACCAGGGCCCCGCGTGGCCCCAGGAAGCCCCACCACTGCCTTAATGCCCGGCGCCGGTGCCCGGCAGGTCCGTGCCCGCTGGCACTGCTGCTGCTGCCGGGCCTGGCACCACCCCTCCCCTGCGCTGTCCCCAAGGGGGACACGGCGTCCCCCCGGCCGCTCAGGGCCCCCAGAGCTGCCCCACTGTCCCCTCCTGCCACCCCCAAAGCAGCTCTGTCCCACGTCCCTGCTGGCCCCAGGCTTGTCCCTGAGGGGTGGCAGCAGTGGGCAAAGGGGCAGTGCCAGCCGTGAGCCCCTGGCACCTGTGGGTGCTGCTGTGGGCACGGGGTGCCCGCCCCGCTGCGCTGTGCCAGCCCCGGGGTGTCCCCACAGCTGCCCCCGCCTGTCCCCACTGTCCCCTTGGCTTGGTGGCTTCCCCCCCGCCCCCAGGGGGTTCTGGGGACATCCAGGGGGGTCTGTCCTGCCTGTCCCCACCCCTGTCCTCCTCCCTTGGCTGTGTCCCCAGCCCCCTGCCCTGCTGAGCCCTGTCCAGCTCGTCTCAGCAATCAGGGCCCTGTGCCCCCCTGGGCCATGGGGACAAGGTGGCTGTCCCTTCTCCGGGCACAGGGATGTCCCCCAGAGCCCTGTGCCCCCCCAGACCCTGGGGACAAGGTGGCTGTCCCTTCTCTGGGCACAGGGACCTCCCCCAGAGCCCTGTGTCCCCCCGGCTGTGGGGACAAGGTGGCTGTCCCTTCTCCGGGCACAGGGATGTCCCCCAGAGCCCTGTGCCACCTCAGCTGAGGGGACAAGGTGGCTGTCCCTTCTCTGGGCACAGGGATGTCCCCCAGGCAGACCCAGGGCTGCTGGCACGTCCGTGTTTGTTTTGGTGGGAAATAAAAGCTGCTGGTAGCTGAATTTGGGGCTGTGGATCTGGGGCTGGAGCAGGGGCAGCCCCCCCGGGCTCTGGGGGTGCTCCTGTCCCTTCTGTACCCCAAGATGTCCCCATCCAACCCTCACCCCCACTCTGGTGACGCCCAAGCCCCGCTCTCTGCTCCAAAAAGTCACTTTTATTGTGCCAAGGGCCAGGGGGAGGAACGATTGTAAACAGGGATGTGAAATATACAGGTTAAGTTACTCGTCGTCTTATTAACAAAATAAAGCTCTATCTATATTTACAATCTTTAAAAAACCAAACGAAACAACAAAAAAGAAAAAGGAAAAGTAATGGAAGAGAGACAAGAAGAGCTGCAGCTGTGGGGAGGGGACACATCTGCTGCCAGTCCCTCTGCAGCACAGCCCTGGAGTGGGACCCCTCCCCAGGGACCCCCTTCCATCCGCAGGGACCCCTGTCCCACTTCAGGGACCCCTGTCCCTCACTGGGGACCCCTGTCTGTCCCCGGGGACCCCTGGCCCACCTCAGGGACCCCCGTCTGTCCCCAGGGAGTTGGGAATAAATAAAGCACTGACAAAGGGCGGGGGAGCAGGGAGGGGCTGGCAGGGCAGGGCAGGGGCTGGCGGGATGTCCCCTGGGATAAGGGATGTCCCCTGGGATAAAGGATGTCCCCAGGGCAGTGTCCCCAGCACTGGGGTGCTGATGCTGCTGAGATTCGGGTCCCCAGCCCAGCTTGGGGACAAGGGGACCGAGGGACAAGGGGACAGAGGGACAGGGGGACAGAGGCTGGTGCCCACTTCTGGGTGCCTCGAGCCCAGGTGGCCACGGCTCCCGTGGTGTCCCCAGCGCTGTCCCTGCTCCCGCGGTGTCCCCAGAGCAGTGACAGTCCCTGCAGTGTCCCCAGCGCTGTCGCTGTCCCCGCGGTGTCCCCAGAGCAGTGACAGTCCCTGCAGTGTCCCCAGCGCTGTCGCTGTCCCAGGCTCGGGGCTGTTCCCGGCTGTGCCACAGGGAGGTGCCGGAGCCCCGCGCACAGAGGGACAGCGGGGACACGGCTGGGGAGAGAGCGGCTGGGCATGGAGCGACATGGCACACACCTGGGCATGGGACACACACACCTGGGCACTGCACACACACACCTAGGCATGGCACACACCTGGGTATGGCACACACACCTGGGCATGGGGCACACACACCTGGGCATGGCACAAACACACCTGGGCATGGGACACACACCTGGGTATGGGACACACACCTGGGCATGGCACACACACACCTGGGTATGGCACACACACACCTGCGTATGGCACACACACACCTGGGCATGGGACACACACCTGGGCATGGGGCACACACACCTGGGCATGGGGCACACACACCTGGGCATGGGGCACACACACCTGGGCATGGGGCACACACACCTGGGCATGGGGCACACACACCTGGGCATGGGGCACACACACCTGGGCATGGGGCACACACACCTGGGCATGGGGCACACACACCTGGGCATGGGGCACACACACCTGGGCATGGGGCACACACACCTGGGCATGGGGCACACACACCTGGGCATGGGGCACACACACCTGGGCATGGGGCACACACACCTGGGCATGGGGCACACACACCTGGGCATGGGGCACACACACCTGGGCATGGGGCACACACACCTGGGCATGGGGCACACACACCTGGGCATGGGGCACACACACCTGGGCATGGCACACGCACACACCTGAGCATGGCACACACCTGAGCATGGCACAGACACACCTGGGCATAGCACACACACACACCTGCGCATGGCACACACACACCTGGGCATGGGACACACACACCTGGGCATGGCACACACCCCTGGGTATGGCACACACACCTGGGCATGGCACACGCACACACCTGAGCATGGCACAAACACACCTGGGCATGGCACACACACACACCTGGGCATGGCACACACACCTGGGCATGGCACACACACATACCTGAGTATGGCACACACACCTGGGCATGGCACACGCACACACCTGAGCATGGCACAAACACACCTGGGCATAGCACACACACACACAGGCACTGGCACACACACCTGGACATGGCACACACTGCACACTCACCTGGGCACTGCCACCCACCTGGCCAAGTCACACACACCTGGCCACCCCTAACCCACCTGGCCACCCCCATGCCCAGGCACACCCCAGCCCCTGCCCCAGGCTCTGACCACCCCACGCTCATTTTTCCTCACAATTCCTTCCCCTCAGCCGCTCCCTTCCCTCCCTCCCGCCCCGCAGGGCTCAGGTGCAGCCCGGGCTGCAGGGCCCTGTGCCCGGGCACAGGCGGGCACGTCCCCCCCCGGCTGGGGGCTGGCAGGGCAGGAACAGCCCCCGCTTTATTCCCAAAGTGGGCCAGAGCTGCCGGCAGCACAAAGGGCCCCGAGGAGCCCTTGGCCGGGGCCGGGGCCAGGCTGGAGCTAAAATTGGCTCGGTGGGAATTCGCTGGCAGGCGCCAAAGAGCGAGCGGGAAGCGCGGAGGGGAGGTCACACCGGGATAGAGCAGGGACGAGTGTGTCCCTGCCCTGTGTCCCCATCCTGTGTCCTCATCCCGTGCCCAGCAGCGCAGCGGGTGAGGCTCTCCAGGAGCCGCAGGTGCCGCAGGGCTGGAGATGCTCTGGAGGTTCCCCGCAGCCTCAGGTCCCCTCAGGGGTGACAACGCAGCAGCCACAGCGTCACCAAATCTCCAGGCTCCACGTGCCACCAAAGCAAGGCCAAGCCAGTCCTTGCCACCCAAAATCCCTGGTGCCCACCCTCGTGGGACCCTTCTAGAGGTGGGCAGCTCCGCTGTGGCAGAGTGCCATCCCACCAGGACACGCCGTGCCCTGCCGGAGGTGGCAGCCAGCCCTGCCACGCCCTCGGCTGTCCCCTGTCCCCCTCAGTCCGTCAGCACCACCAGCTCGCCGTCGCTCTTGTCCTCGCCCTCCGAGTCCTCGTCCTCGCTGTAGCGGTACATGTCCCCCTCGGGCACCGAGTGCCCATCGTCACCGGCGTCCCCGTCCTTGAGGCTGCGCGTGTTGACGATGACGGGCATGGTGGGGTCCACGCCGCGGGGCAGGTAATGCTCCAGGAGGGGCGGGGGCAGCTGCACGCCCACCGGCCGCGGGTACAGCACGTCCGAGGAGCTGGGGGGCACCTGGCTGCCCTGCGGCCTGGGGGGCACGGGGGTGGGCACTCAGAGGGGCAGGCAGGGCTCAGGGGGCTGCCCTCGGCCACCCCGAGGGGGGAGTTATGTGTGGGGCAGGTGGGCATCAAACCCACGGGCACGAGGTGGGCACACACCTCATTGACATCAGGTGGGCACCAACCCCATGGGCACCAGGTGAGCCCCACCCCAGCACCACCCCCCTGAGCCTGTGGGGTGGGGCACACAAGGTGTTCCGTACCAATCCCCCTTATCAACTCCCTCTTACCAATCCCCCTAAACAATCCCTCTTACCAATCCCCCTTATCAATCCTGCTTACCAATCCCCTTTCTCAATCCCCCTTTACCAATCCCCCTTATTAATGCCCTTTTACCAATCCCCATTACCAATCCGCCTCATCAATCCACCATTACCAACCCCCTTATCAATCCCCTTATCAATTACCCTATCAAGTAGCCCTGCCTGGCGTCCTGGCACCAGTTCCTTACCAATCCCCCTTTACCAATCCCTTTTCTTAATCCCCCTTTACCAATCCCCCTTTATCCATCCCCCTTACCAATCCCCTTATCAATCCCCTTATCAATTACCCTATCAAGTAGCCCTGCCTGGCATCCTGGCAGAGGTTCCTCATCAATCCCCCCTTACCAATCCCCCCTTACCAATATGTGTGGGGCAGGTGGGCATCAAACCCACGGGCACGAGGTGGGCACACACCTCATTGACATCAGGTGGGCACCAACCCCATGGGCACCAGGTGAGTCTCACCCATGTCACCAGGTGAGCCCCACCCCAGCACCACCCCCCTGAGCCTGTGGGGTGGGGCACACAAGGTGTTCCGTACCAATCCCCCTTATCAACTCCCTCTTACCAATCCCCCTAAACAATCCCTCTTACCAATCCCCCTTATCAATCCTGCTTACCAATCCCCTTTCTCAATCCCCCTTTACCAATCCCCCTTATTAATGCCCTTTTACCAATCCCCATTACCAATCCGCCTCATCAATCCACCATTACCAACCCCCTTATCAATCCCCTTATCAATTACCCTATCAAGTAGCCCTGCCTGGCGTCCTGGCACCAGTTCCTTACCAATCCCCCTTTACCAATCCCTTTTCTTAATCCCCCTTTACCAATCCCCCTTTAGCAATTCCCCCTTACCAATCCCCTTACCAATCCCCTTATCACTTACCCTATCAAGTAGCCCTGCCTGGCATCCTGGCACAGGTTCCTCATCAATCCCCCCTTATCAATCCCCCCTTACCAATCCCCCTTTATCAATTGCCCCTTGCCGATTGCCATTGCCAATGCCCCCATTACCAATCCCCCCATTATCAACCCCGCTTATCAATCCCCCCTTACCAATCCCCCTTTACCAATCCCCCTTATCCATCCCCCATTTACCAACCCCATTACCAGCTCCCTTATCAATCCCCTTATCAATTACCCTATCAAGTAGCCCTGCCTGGCGTCCTGGCACCCGTTCCTCATCAATTCCCCCTTACCAATCCCCCTTTATCAATTCCTTCTTGCCAATCGCCATTGCCAATTCCCCTTATCAATCCTGTTTACCAATCCCCTTTCTCAATCCCTTTTTACCAATCCACTTTATTAATCCCCCTTTACCAATCCCCCTTTACCAACCCCCCTTATCAATCCCCCCTTACCATTCCCCCTTTATCAATTCCCCCTTGCCAATCGCCATTGCCAATCCCAATTTATCAACCCCATTACCAGCTCCTTTACCAATCCCCTTACCAATCCCCTTATCAATCCTGTTTACCAATCCCCTTTCTCAATCCCCTTTTACCAATCCACCTTATTAATCCCCCTTTACCAATCCCCCTTATCCATCCCCCATTTATCAACGCCATTACCAGCTCCCTTATCAATCCCCTTATCAATTACCCTATCAAGTAGCCCTGCCTGGCATCCTGGCAGCAGTTCCTTACCAATCCCCCTTTACCAATCCCTTTTCTTAATCCCCCTTTACCAATCCCCCTTTAGCAATTCCCCCTTACCAATCCCCTTACCAATCCCCTTATCAATCCCCTTATCAATTACCCTATCAAGTAGCCCTGCCTGGCGTCCTGGCACCAGTTCCTTACCAATCCCCCTTTACCAGCCATTGCCAATCCCAATTTATCGACCCCATTACCAGCTCCTTTACCAATCCCCTTACCAATCCCCTTATCACTTACCCTATCAAGTAGCCCTGCCTGGCATCCTGGCAGCAGTTCCTTACCAATCCCCCTTTACCAATCCCCTTTCTTAATCCCCCTTTATCAATTGCCCCTTGCCAATTGCCATTACCAATGCCCCCATTACCAATGCCCCCATTACCAACCCCGCTTATCAATCCCCCCTTAACCAATCCCCTTATCAATCCCCCTTACCAACCCCCCTTATCAATCCCCTCATAACCAATCCCCCTTATCCATCCCCCATTTATCAACGCCATTACCAGCTCCCTTATCAATCCCCTTATCAATCCCCTTATCAATTACCCTATCAAGTAGCCCTGCCTGGCGTCCTGGCACCAGTTCCTTACCAATCCCCCTTTACCAATCCCTTTTCTTAATCCCCCTTTACCAATCCCCCTTTAGCAATTCCCCCTTACCAAGCCGGTTCCTCATCAGCGCCTTGTACTCTCCCACGCGCAGCCGCTTGCCCTCCACGATGCAGGTGCGCTTGGGCCGCGGTTTGTATTTGTAGTCCGGGTACTTCTCCAGGTGCTGCCGGCTCAGCCGCGCCTGCTCCTCGTAGTAGGGCTGCTTCTCCTGGTTGGACATGGACTTCCAGCGGGATCCTGCGTGGGGAAAGGAGGAGAGCGTCCTCACAGCCTGCCTGAGCGAGGAGATCGGGGCGAACCCACCCCGAGGTTGGTTGGTGCTGTTGGTTGATTAATTAGTGATGGTAATTAATGGTGTTGGTTGTGGGAATGGTGCCTGGATTTAGGGCGGTGCTGGTGGGAGCCACGTGCCACAGCTGGTTCTGCTGGAATATTGGGAACAGCTTCCCTGAACTTCCCTGGGCATTTCCAGGGATTCATCCCCTCATTCCCTGACCTTCCCCAGACATCTCTGAGGATTCATCCCCCCATTCCCTGACCTTCCCTCCCAGGATTCATCCCTTCCTTCCCTGACCTTCCCTCCTGGATTCATCCCCTCATTCCCTGACCTTCCCTCGTGGATTCATCCCCTCATTCCCTGACCCTCCCTCCAGGGATTCATCCTCTCATTCCCTGACCCTCCCTCCTGGATTCATCCCCTCATTCCCTGACCTTCCCCAGGTCAGGGAGGTCCCTCTGTGGCAATTAAGAGTGGACCCCCTGTCTCCAGATCTTGTTCCCACTCCTCCTGGGGGATGCAGAGTTGATCCTGCCCCAGGATCTTATTCCCATTCCTCCAGGGGCTGCAGAAGGGCTCCTGTCCCAGGATTTTGGGGGGGATGCAGAGGGGATCCTGCCCCAGGATCTCGTTCCCATCCCTCCATGGCGCTGCAGAGTGGATCCCCCATCCCCAGATCTCATTCCTGTTCCTCCAGGGGCTGCAGAAGGGCTCCTGTCCCAGGATTTTGGGGGGGATGCAGAGGGGATCCTGCCCCAGGAGCTCGTTCCCATCCCTCCATGGAGATGCAGAGGGGATCCCCATTCCCAGATCTCATTCCCATCCCTCCAGGGGCTGCAGAGGGGCTCCTGCCCCCCATCTCACCCAGGATCTTGCTGATGCTGGAGTTGTGCATGTCTGGGAAGGCCTGCAGGATCTTCCTGCGCTCGTCCTTGGCCCACACCATGAAGGCGTTCATGGGCCGCTTGATGTGGTTGTTGTTCCTGGACTCCGGGAAGTGCCGGGAGCCTGCAGGGACACGCGGGATGAGGGCAGGAGCCAGGGGACAGAGCCAGGCGGGGGTCACCACCGTGCCCTGGCCACCCTCACCGTCCATCTCGCAGCTCAGCAGAGCCTCGTCCAGCCGGTGGCCGGGGGTCTCCTCCATGCGCTCCTTCACCGGGGAGGAGTCAATCCCAACGGGCTCCTGCGGGACAGCGGGGTCAGGAGCCAGCCCCAGCCCGGGGACAGCTGTGGCTGGTGACCTGGGGTGGCAGAGGGGCTGGTGACAGCACGGAGTGACGCTCACCTTGCGGTAGGGGCTGCTCAGGGACCCCTCCATGGCGGCGCCGTGGCCGTGCAGCAGCTGCCGCGCGTCGTGGATGGCTTTGGTGATGGCATCGCCCTCTCCCAGGAATCCTGGCAGGACACGGGCACCCGTCAGTGCCAGCGGCCACCCCAGTGACCCCCCAGAGTACCCATCAGTGCCAGCAGCCACCCCACTGACCCCCCAGAGCACCTGTCAGTGCCAGCGGTCACCCTGCTGACCACCCAGAGTACCCACCCTCATGGACACCTATCTGTGCCAGTGGTCACTCCACTGACCACTCACAGTACTGACCACTAAGGGCACCCATCAGTGCCAGTGGCCACCCCAGAGTCCCCAGAGTACCCGTCAGTGCCAGCGGTCACTCCACTGAGCCCCCAGAGTACCCCAACCTATGGACACCCATCAATGCCAGTGGTCACCCCACTGACCCCTCACACCACTGACCCCTAAAAGCACCCGTCAGTGCCAGTGGTCACTCTGCTGACCCCCCAGAGTACCCACCCCTAAGAGCACCCATCAATGCCAGTGGTCACTCCACTGACCACTCAACCCACGCCCATGGGCACCCATCAGTGCCAGCGGCCACCCCGCTGACCACTGATGACCACTCACAGCACCCACGCCCATGGGCACCCATTGGTGCCAGTGGTCACCCCACTGACCCCTCACACCACTGACCCCTAAAAGCACTAATCAGTGCCAGCAGTCACTCCACTGACCACTCAACCCACGCCCATGGGCACCCATCAGTGCCAGTGGTCACCCCGCTGACCCCCACACCACTGACCCCCCCCTGACCACCCCAGCTGCGCCCCGGGCGGTGGCACATCCCAGGGTGACAGCGATGTCCCTTGTGTCCCCACCCAGCGGGAGGTTGGAGGGGCTGCTCTGCAGCTCCCTGCCGGCGCCGTGGCTGGGTGGCAGCGCCTGGCAGCCGCTCATCTTCAGACTGGGCGAGCTGGAGGCGCTGGGCAGCTCGGGGCCTTTGGGCTTGGCCGTCAGGTTCAGCGGCTGCGAGGTCTCCTGGGGAGGAGAGAGGGGTGGGGGGTGAGGAGCTGACCCCAAAGCCCCAGCCCAGGGTTTGGGGGGCTGTACCAGGGCTTGAAGGGGGTTTTGGGGTTGCACCAGGGGTTGAAGGGCATTTTTGGGGCCATACCAGGGTTTGAAGGGAGTTTTTGGGGCTGTACCAGGGGTTTAAGGGGGTTTTTAGTGCTGTACCAGGGTTTGAAGGGGGTTTTGAGGGCCATAGCAGGGTTTTGGGACTGTACCAGGGTTTTCAGGGCTGTACCAGGGTTTGGGGGGCTGTACCAGGGTTTGAAGGAGGTTTTTGGGGCTGTACCAGGATTTTTGGGGCTGTACTAGGGTTTTTGAGGCTGTACCAGGGTTTTTGGGGGCTGCATCAGGGTTTGAAGGGTTTCTTTGGGGCTGTACTAGGGTTTGGGGGGTTATACCAGGGTTTGGAGGGCTGTATCAGGGTTTAAAGGGGATTTTTGGGACTGTACCAGGGTTTTTTGGGCTGTGCCAGGGTTTTTGGACCTGTGCCAGGGTTTTTGGACCTTTACCTGGGTTTTTGGAGGGTGTCCCAGGGTTTTGGGGGCTGTCCCAGGGTTTAGGGGGCTGTATCAGGGATTTTGGGGGCTGTATCAGGGTTTGAAGGGTTTTTTTGGGGCTGTGCCAGGGTTTCGGGGCTGTACCTGAGTTTTTGGGGTTTTTGGGGCCGTACCTGCATCGGGAGGTGGCCCGGGCCCGCGGGTCTCTTCAGCGTGGCAGGAGGGGGGCTGTGCAGGAGCTGCACCGGGTAATCCACTGCGGGAGCAGAGGGACAGCGCTTGGGGACAACAGGGACGCGGCTGGGGGACAAGGCCACCGCGCAGGGCCGGGCCAGCCCCGACTCACCCGGTTTGCAGGGGATGGGCTGGATGGGCAGCGCCAGCTGGGACTCGGGGCTGACCGGCAGCGGCTGGTGCCCGGGGGTGAAGGCGGGGATCATCACGTAGGGCATGTTGACCTGCTGGAGGGGACAGGGACACCAGATCAACGCTGTGCCACCCCCGCGGGGGACAGCAGGACAGCGGTGACAGGGACAGAGGTGTCCCCTGCCTTTACCTGGATCTGCTGCTGGAGGAGGTTGATCTTGTGCTGCTGCTGGATGAGCTGCTGCTGCTGCTTGGCGATCTGCGGAGGGGACAGCGGCGTTGGTGGCATCAAGGACAGCGCTGGGCTGGCCTCCAGCCTGGCAGAACCCGGCCAGCGCCGCAGGAAAAGGGTGGCAGGGGGTCCCCAAGGCCATGGGAAGGGCAGGAGGAGGGGCTGAGCTGCCTTGAGCCACCTCGAGGGACACAAGGGCTGTGTGTCACACCCCAGGCGTGACAGCGGTGTCACCCCTGCCCTTGGGGGAGGTGTCCAAGGAGCAGGTGAGCACAGGCAGGAGGCACCTGGGGTGGTTTGTTCATCCTGGGGGGCTCAACCCCCATCTCCATCCACCCATGGGTGTCCCAGCTCTGAGGGATGGGATGGGAACAGAAAATGGGACCCCAAAACCCACCCCAAAGGGATCCCGAGGGGTGACGGTCCCCACCTGCTCCTGCTGCTGCCGTGCCAGCTCCATCTGCTGCTGCTGCTTCTCGAAGAGCATGGTGGCCATGTTCTTCTGCTCCGAGTGCGCCGTCAGCAGCTGGTCCCGCAGCGTGGACAGCTGGTTGATCATTACCAGCAGCTGCAGCTCCTTCTCCGCCAGGCTCTCCTGGGTTCCTGGGGGAAAACACAACAGGGTGAGGGTCGGAGAAGTCCTAAAGCCACCACAGCCACCATGGGGTGACCAGGGAATGGCAGACTGGGGAGGAATGGAAAGATCCCCACACTCTGAACCCCCCGCCCTGCAGCCAGAGGCAGCAGAGGTGCTCACGTCCAAAAAAAACAATCAAAAAAACCAATTTTCTTCTGCATTCCTGGGGGGAAAACACCCGACTGGATGAGGGTCAGGGGGTGGGGAGGGGGTCAAGCACAAAGTGGGATGGAGGTGGTTTTGTTTAAGGAGTGTAATTCCTATTTCCTCTGAGATTGAAGACTTTGGGGTGGGAAATGTGAGGCAGAGAAGTCCTAAAGCCACCAGAGCCACCATGGGGTGACCAGGGAATGGCAGACTGGGGAGGAATGGAAAGATCCCCACACTCTGAACCTCCCACCCTGCAGTCCGAGGTAGCAGAGATGCTCACCTCCAAAAAAAACCAATTAAAAAAGTGACAAATCTCTACGAAATGTGGACATTTCCCCGCCTGCTTTGGTGCTCCCGGCTGGGAGGCAGGAGGGAGCTTGGTGGAGGTGAATCCCACCTTTCACTTCCTTGGATTCAGCCGTGTTCCTGCCCAGCAGCCGCTCCTTCCAGTCACTGGCCAGCAGCTTCTCGATGGTTGGCATCACTGGGGACAGGGACAGGGGACAACCACATGAGCACACCCCGAGGCTCTGCAGCACGGCTCAGTCCATCCCACAGCTCTGGGGAAATCCCGAGGGGCAGGGAAGGGACCCCAAGAGGTCCCTTGGGAACGTTTCCCACCTTCCTTCAGGTTCCTGTTGAAGTCCAGCTTCTCCTGGCCGCTCCCGGCCGGCTCGAAGGCGGAGCGCCGGGGCTCGGGGACGTCCCCGGTGGATTCCTGGGGGACACAGATGTCACTGCCACCGCCAGGGACACCCCCAGCAGGGGACATCCCAGTCCGGTGGGATGCTGGGAGCTGGTGCACGCTCTGCCAGGCACATTCCCTGAATCCCACCCAGAGAGCAGCATGGAAATGCTGGAATTCTCTCCCATGGTCCCCTGAGCTGCTCTCCCCTCTGAGGGCAGAGCAGGGAGAGGGAAAACCCCAGGACAATGGGAAAGGGAGGCTGAAGGGATGGGGAACACCTGGAGGGGGTCGTTGAGGGTTCCACACTGAAGGTGAAGCCCTCAAAGCCCAGAGATGACCCCAGAAAAGCCCCAGGTTTTCCATGGGCAAAACTGAGCTCTTGTTCCCAGTTTTCCGGGATTTTGGGGCTTAATCCTCAGAGAAACCAACCCTTCACGCCCTGGGAGCTCTTGTTCCTGGTTCTCCAGGTTTTCGGGGCTCAATCCTCAGGGAAACCAGCCCTTCACACCCTGGGAGCTCTTGTTTCTAGTTCTCCAGGTTTTTGGGGCTCAATCCTCAGGGAAATCAACCCTTCATGCCCTGGGAGTTCGTGTTCCTGTTATTCCAGGTTTTTTGAACTCAGTCCTTGGGGAAACCAACCCTTCACACCCTGGGAGCTCTTGTTCCCGGTTCTCCAGGATTTTGGGCTCAAAAGAGCAGCCAAAAAAACCTTGGGAGAGCCTCAGTTTCAGTTTTAATTCCTTGGCGTGAGGAAAAACCACGCGGGGGAGCAGCCACCGCCTTGTCCATGGGATGGAGGGTCTGGAGCAGGGCTGGGCAGCACCACCTCTGTCACACCCACCTGTGGCAGAGCCTGGGGGTCGGTGCCATCCCTGGGAGGTGGTCCCGGGGGGTCGTGGGGCCGGGGCTCGGCGCTGGGGGCAGCCCCCGGGGGGGTCTCGGGGCCGCCCTCCTTCTTCTCCTCGGTCTTGACGGCGCAGTTCACCATGGTGCCCGCTCCATCCAGCTCTGGGGGTGGAGAGACGGGGCTCCTCATGGACATCCTGGGGACAGCAGGGACGTCACCACGGCCACCGGGCACCCCTGGGCGTGGGCAGCCCTCTCCCAGCCTGGTGCCACCCTGGTGTGCCCCACGGTGCAAGGACAGCGTCCCTGGGGTTTGCCAAGGGGAAAGCTGAGCTCTTGTTCCTGGTTCTCCAGGATTTTGGGGCTTAATCCTCAGATAAACCAACCCTTCACACCCTGGGAGCTCTTGTTCCCAGTTTTCCGGGATTTTGGGACTCAGTCCTCAGGGAAATCAACCCTTCACATGCTGGGAACTCTTGTTTCCATGTTTGCAGGTTTTTGGAGCTCAAACCTCAGAGAAACCAACCCTTCACACCCTGGGAGCTCTTTTTTCTGCTTTTCCATGTTTTTGGAGCTCAGTCCTTGGGGAAACCAACCCTTCACACCTCAGGATGAAGGAATGAATTCCTAAAGGCAACCCAGAGATCCAAGAGATTGGGATTGAGGGACAGCTTGAGGGGCCTTCATGCCACGTCCAGCAAGCCCAGGCTCAGGGTGACAGGGCCCAGCAGCCCAGGGTCCCTCACAGCTCCAGGAGCCGTGCCTAGAAAGCCATCGGAGCAGCCACGGGTTCCCGATCCAACGGGAAAGGGAAATCCTGGCTCTGCCCAACAACGGCTGGGACGGCACCGGAACGGCTCCCCCAGGAACCCCCGGCACGGGAGGGACCTGGGACTGGCCACCAGGATGGCTCCTCCAGGAATCCCTGGAATGGAATGGAATGGAATGGAATGGAATGGAATGGAATGGAATGGAATGGGACTGGCCACCAGGATGGCTCCTCCAGGAATCCATGGAACAGAATGGAATGGAATGGAGTGGAATGGAATGGAATCGGAACGGCTCCCCCAGGAACCCCCGGCACGGGAGGGACCTGGGACTGGCCACCAGGATGGCTCCTCCAGGAATCCCTGGAATGGAATGGAATGGAATGGAATGGAATGGAATGGAATGGAATGGAATGGAATGGGACTGGCCACCAGGATGGCTCCTCCAGGAATCCATGGAACAGAATGGAATGGAATGGAGTGGAATGGAATGGAATGGAATGGAATGGAATGGAATGGAATGGAATGGAATGGGACTGGGACCGGCCACCAAAATGGTTCCTCCAGGAATCCCTGGAATGGAATGGAATGGAATGGAATGGAATGGAATGGAATGGGACTGGCCACCAGAATGGCTCCTCCAGGAATCCCTGGAATGGAATGGGACTGGGACTGGGACTGGGACCGGCCACCAGAATGGCTCCTCCAGAAATCCCCAGCATGGGATTGACCTGAGACTGGGACTGGCCACCAAAATGGCTCCTCTGGGAGTCCCAGTCATGGGATGGATCTAGGACCAGGAGTGGCCACCAGAACAGCTCCTCTGGGAGCCCTGGCCCAGCACTGCCAAGGCCCTGCCAGGACAAGGGGCTGGCCCCGGGAATGGCTCTCCCTGATCCCACAAACCCCTGTGGGTGCCAATCCCAGTCCCAGTGGGGATGGGCACCGCAGGAGTGACCATGAGTTTTATAGGGAAGGGGTTGTAACACCCCATGGGGACCCCAAGCACTGGCGTTCCATGGGGTTTGTCCCCAAAAAAAACATGTTCCGTGGGGTTTGTCCCCAAAAAACCTGTCCCACCCCTCGTTCCGGGTGCCAGGACTGCCAAGAGCCAGCGCCAAGATCAGTGGTGCCCACGGGTCTGTGCCCATGGGGATTTGCCTTTGGAGGCCACCAAGCCTCACACCACACAGCAAGAACAGGAACAAGCATTGTCCTCGCCTTTCAGCGGGAATAATGGGAAAAGGAGGAAGGGATTTACCCTGGAATCGGGATCTGCGTTGTGGGACTGCCCTGAGATGGAGACAGCGCCTGCCACCCCAAACCCAGCACCCTCTCACCTCCCAGACCCCGCTCAGGAGCCCCTAAAGCCAGTTTGGGGGTGCAAAGTGGGGTGGGGAGGGCTGAGCTGGGCCGCCCGGCTTGGGGGCAGCAATTACATAACAAACAAAGCCCGGCTCAAGCTGCGAATTAATCAAACGGCTGAAAATAAAACCTTCCTCTCAGGAACTTCAAACAAAAGAAATGAAAACAACAAGGCCGGCTGGGTAATGAAAAGCCAGGGCTGTGAATAGGGGACAAAAGGAAGTGGAACAATGGGGTGTTGGACAAAAGCAATAAAGTAAAGGGAAGTGTGACAGCTCCACAATAGGGCACTGTGCTCGCCAGCCTTTCTGATCTTAGCGGGCCTTTTTTTAATCTCGGTTCCCTCGCCCTCCGCCGAACAAACCCGCCGGGTTTCCTCCCGGCCCCGCATCGCCCGGGGGCTGCCGCATCCTGCGGCGCCCCTTCCTGCCCCGGCTCACCTTGGCCGGGGCCACCCGGCCCCCAAAATCCAGTGCCGGGAAGGAGCGGACCCGGCGGGAAGCTGTGCCCGCTCCAGCAAGGATTGGCCTTGTGGGGATGTTATAGGTGGGGAAACTGAGGCAGGAATGCACAGCACAGCACCTCAGGTGTGTGTGAAATGCCATTTCCCCGGCTTTTTTGGCGTTTTTTCCATGCAAAAATGCAAATTTTTGTAGGTTTGGGATGCTGTAAGAGCAGCACCGCGGCACGGAGCGATGGCTTTGGTTTGAGGCAGAGACAAAATCCCATCGCAGCCCTCCCGCAGGTCCCGTTCCCATTGTGCTTCACCTCCCGGTGCCACTGGAAGTTCACTCTCAAAATGGGGCCAGGCTTTAATAGGGCCGTGTTTGAAAGGGGCCTCCGTGAGGGTTTGTTATCCACCCTGCCGAGCAAACAGAAAAAAAGGGGAAAAGGGGGAAACTGCGCTGTTATCTCATTCCGGGCGGGTCTCAGGTGTGGGCTCCGGGGCTGCCTGGGGCACACAATGGGCACGGAACAATCGCCCTGGCACGGCGCTGAAGGGATCTTCTCGGTTTTTAATGTTCCCCGTTAAATCCAGGGTGGGGAGGAAGGGAGGGAATGGGGTCGGGATGGAAAGCGCCAGCCTGGAGGATGGAAACAGATCCCAAATCCTCATGGGATGCTTCCTTCCCTCACAGCTCTTGGGGGGCTCATCCCACAAGCAGCAAAGCCCTGAAATTCCAATTTTGAACTCATATTTCACCTTTCCTCCCAATCCCAGCCTGGCAGCTCCAAGATTTGGGACGTGGGATGGTGGCAGCTCGTGTTTCCCGGTTCGTACCCGCGAACGGCACGTCCTGCAATTCTCCCGGTGGCCGTGCCACCCTTCCTGCCCGCCAGCCAGGCCTGATCCTATCGGCCCCGCTGTGTGGAGCAGAACTGCTCCAGGGGCTGGGAAAAGGGGATGAGGTGCCAGGAAACACCCACCCTGCCCGGCACCGGTTTGGGGATCCGAGAGGTGCCAAAATCCCACCAGTGCAGGAGTTTGGGATCCAGATGTTGAGACCCTGGCCCTGCAGGAGTTTGGGATCCAGGAGGTGCCAAAATCTCGGCACTACAGGAGCTTGGAGATCCAAGAGATGCCAAAATCCCACAGCTTGGGATCGAGGAGATTCCAGATGTTGCAATCCTGGCACTACAGGAGTTTGGGATCCAGGAGATGCCAAAATCCTGGCACTGCAGGAGTTTGGGATCCAAGAATTGTTGCAATCCTGGCACTGTAGGAGCTCGGGATCCAGGAGATGCCAAAATCCTGGCACTGCAGGAGCTCAGGATCCAGATGTTGAGATCCCAGCACTGCAGGTCTTTGGGATCTAAGAAACATCAAGATCCTGGCACTGCAGGAGTTTGGGATCCAAGAGGCAATGGGATTCCAACACAGCAGGAATTTGGGATCCAAGAGACACCAAGACCCTGGCACTGCAGGAGTTTGGGATCCAGATGTTGAGACCCTGGCCCTGCAGGAGTTTGGGATCCAGGTGTTGAGACCCTGACACTGCAGGAATTTGGGATCCAGGAGATGCCAAAATCTCGGCACCGCAGGATCTTGGGGATCCAAGAGCCACCACGATCCCTCACCCCGTGTCACATCACTCCTGCCTCAGGGCTCATCCTGCCCCTCAGTTTAGGGACAATCCCACCCCAGGGACAGCAAAGAGACCCTTGGTGAGCTGGCTGGGGGAGCTGCTGCCTGGATTTTCGGGATCACCCTGCCCTCTCCTGCCCATCAGGTTGTCCCAGCTGCTGGAGTTCTCCTCCCTCCCAAAGCTCTCCATCTACGTCTCTTCCCCTCAGGAACCCAACGTGGTTCCCAATCATCCCAAAAAAACCTCACCCCACCACCAGAGCCCAGGAAACCGGGCAAAACAGGGGAAAATCCAAGGAGGAAACACCAGAGGAGCAACGCCGGCACGAGCAGCAGCCGCGACACCCCTGGGAGAGGGCAGAGGAAAAAATAAAGACACACACGGAGATTTTCCTCTTCCAGGCAGGACCTGAGGAATCCCGGCCGGCCACCGGGACAGACAATAGCCCATCTCCTGCCAGACGAGCGGGGCCGCTTTCCTGCCAGACTTGGAATGTCCTTTCGGGGCCGCTTCCAAGCCTTTCCGCCCCGGGTGTCTTCCAAGAGAAAAGAATGGATGTTTGCTCCACCGTGCCCGGCAGGGATGGCCAGGGGTGGCCCATGGCCCTGCCTGGGGGAAGTTCATGGGGCTGCTGGGTTTTCCCTGGGGATCCAGATCATCCCCAGGATTTGGGGTCGTTCCCTGGGAACGGCAGGTGGCCGTGGGGGAGGTGGGATGTGCCGTCCGTCCATGGGGGTGGGAGGAATGTGGGTGAGGAAATGCAAGACCCCGGGGTCTGATGGTTTGGGAAAATTGGTTTTGAACCCCAAAAGGCAAATGGATGAGAATTTTCAGCCCCAGAAACGGCACCACCACCACGTCAGATCCACGGAGTTTGCTGGTTCTATAAAATTCTTTTTTAACCCCAAAAGGCAACGGGATGAGCGTTTTCAGCCCCAGAAATGCCACCACCACCATGGCAGAGCCACAGGTTATTTT